AGGTGGCAGGCGCCTATTGTCCTAGCTACACGGGAGGCTGAGGCAGGAGAATAGCGTAAACCCGGGAGGCGGAGCTTGCAGTCAGCTGAAATCCGGCCACTGCACTCCAGCCTGGGTGACAGAGCGAGACTCCGTCTCAAAAAAAAAAAAAATTTAATCGTTTTAGTCCTTAAGTTTAGGTTCATTTTCCTTTTCTCATAAATTTTTATATAGTGTGTGAGTTGAGGTTCACTTTTTTCCCTATTCAGACATCCACTTGTCTCATACCTTTTTCCCTATTAATTAATCTAGCACCTGTGTCAAACATAAATTGACCATATAAGTGTTGTTCTGTTTGTGGACTATCATTCCATTATTTCATGTGTCTGTCATTAGACCAATACCACGCTGTCTTGATTTATCTAACATATAGCAAGCCTTGAAATCAGGTAGTGTAAGACCTCCAACCTTGTTATATTTAAAGAGTGTTTTGGCTGTTCTTGGTCCATTTCTTCTCTAAACGCCTGCAAAGATTTTGACTGGGATTGTGTTGAATCTGTAGATAAATTTGGGAAGAACTGGCATATTTACAATAATGAATCTTATATATGAACCATGGTATCTTCTCCATTTATTTAAGTCTTCTTTAATTTCCCTTAAAATTCTCATGATAATGCAGTATATTGTAATTTGCAGCATATAGGTCTTAGACATCTTTCACTAAACTTAATCTTAAATATTTTTAATACTATTGTAATAGATTGGGGTTTTTTTAATTTTTCTCTTTATAATTCCATATATTCTATAATTTATAATTGTAATTGTAATAATTTTCTGATATATAGACACTCATTTGACTTTCGAATATTGACCTTGTAGTTTGTGACTTAATTTCACTTAATAGCTCTAATAGTAGTTTTGTAGATATCTTGGAATTTTCTATGTATAGGATCATAGTATCTGCAAATAAAGACAGTTTTTTCCTGCCTTCCGATCTTTACACTTTCCTTTTTTTTTCATTACACTGATTTTAACTTCTAGTACAGTGTTGAAGTGGTAAGAGCAGAAATCCTTGCCTTGTTACTGATCTGAGTTATAAAACAAAATCTTTCATCTTTGAGTTTTGTGTTATTTGTAGATTTTTGTAGATGTCTAATCAGGTTTAGGAAGTTCTCTTATACTTCTAGTTTGTTGAGGGCTTTTACCATTAATGAATATTGGATTTTGTTAATTTTTTTGCAGTTATTGAAATATGGCTTTCTCCATTGTTTTGTTAATATGATAAATTACATTGATTCACTTCATTATGATTATTATCTTTTTTAATATATTGCTGGGTTGAATTTCCTAAAATTTTGTTAAATTTTGTATCTTTTTGAACATTAGAGAGATTAGTCTGTACTTCTATTTTCTTGTTTTATGTTTGCCTTGTTTTATTTTTTTCTTTCAGAATTCACCAATGAAGCCCAACTGGGAGAGGGAGGTTTTTGTGTGTTGGAAAGCAAGGCTTATAATTATGAATTTAATCTATATAATTGATATAATCATGTATACTTGAAAAGAATGTAGTTTGCCATAGTTGAGTGTAATGTTCTATAAGTGTCAGTTAAATCAAGGTTGATGATGTTGAGGTTGCCTGTGCCTCCACTTATTTTTTCTGGTTATATTGGTTGCTGAGAGAGGGATGAAGAAAGCAAGTTATACCTCTAGCAGCAGCTTTAGTAAAGTTACATTGCAAAGAGATAACGCTTGTAAGGATAGGAGGAATTTGTTACCATGTTTTATGGTCTACCACTAAGTTCATTTTACTGTTCTCTGTACTTTTGTATATATTAGAAATTTTCTGTAATAAAATCTTAAAAACCAAACCCTCTCAGGTGATATTATATTCCAGGGAATGCATGTTGAAGCCACAGCATGCTTCACCGTATACAGGAAAAATATTTAGGATTTCTATTTATGTTTATTTTTTACATTGTCATTTTAAAAGTTCTATTTTGGCATATGTTTTGTAGGGCAAGGCATATCCAATAGTCATAAATAATTTTAAAATATAGATGCATACATATGGGAGAGAATTATATATTATATGTTATTTTACTATTCTGGTTTTAAAATAGTAGTTTTACCCTCATGGAAAATCAGTTTTATTCCAAAAGTTATGTATCATTGGATGGTCTTGAACCTTATCTTAAATTTTATATTAAAATAACAGTGTTTTTATGCAATACTTGTTTTTAAATGCTTTGTTTTGTCAGGTTTTCAAGAGGTGTTTTTATATTCTGAAACTCCTGAATCATGCAGAACTTAAATTAAGGTGATAATTTTCATTTCAGGGAATGCTGAAATTACAATCTAAAATTAGGTCAGTGGTGTGCAGGCTTAAAAGGAAACAAAAACCAGCTTTTAACAAACAAGAAGTTAAAGAAACAGTGTCTTAATGTTCTGTTCCCTGTATATACTTGAAATTAAGAGTATTTACTAATAATGAGTAAAAATTGGGGAGAAAGTGAGGTAATGTAATATTGGCCCTAATTATTCCTACTGAAAACCCTATCTTTTTTTTTTTCTTTTTTCTTTTTTTTTTTTTGCATCTAGAATGTTTACTTCAGGTATCATTTGAATTAAGAAAACCAAAGGGAAAGCTCTGATTTATAGATAGAAAATAAATTAAGAAACTAAATTACACTAATACCTTACACTAGCCTCAATTCACTTCCTAACCCTACCCCCTGAATCTCCATTGTACTTTTAAAAGCAGAGTAAATCACAAAAAAACACATTCCAAATGCAGGTGTTAATTTTTAAACTTTACAGTACTCAGACTTACGCTGTTTAGGTTTTGTACCCATTTGCTATCATTAGCTTCCTGCAGTTAGAAAAACTTACATTCCAAATTTCAGCTTTGGCAATCTGTATATTAGGAATGTATTTATTTTCCTGGATTTGAGAGAATATGTTCTTAAGGGTTTTGTTAAAAGCCTTAATCGTGTACAGCACTTTACATTGTAAGGTGATTAATTGCTGTGTCATAAGGCAGGGATTGGACAAATGTCTTGGGAGATTTAAACACAAATTACGTGTTTTGGAGGGGCTTTGTGTTTTGTAAACCTTTAGGTAATTCAGAATTTGACCACCTATCCCATTTTTTGAGCACAGTATGATTAAGATTTTCCTTAAAATAACAACTTTACAAAATTTGTTAACACCCAAATTAAAGAACAACTTCCAGTGAGGGTTCTTTTACCAGCCAGTATCATTAGGTAGGAAAATTGAATTTCTGTCCAAGTGGGATTTATATATTAAAGCAATACAGCCAGTGATATATTTGGATGTTAGGGTATTTGGCAAAGTCCCTCATGAGATATCCTTGAAGAATAGGACTTAAGAAATGTGGACTGCAGAATAATACAATTAGACTGATTTGTAATTGAGCGCCATAAACACTAATTGAATTCTTGTCATCAGCTGGGATGTAGCACTCTGCCTGTTTTTTTTTTTTAAATCAGTTGTTTGAATGAGGACAAATAGTATGATGATGATGACGTTAATTCACAGATGATGTTAATCTGGTATCCACATTCCTGAAAATTGGATGGCAGGTTTATTTAGAAAACAAAATGATCTTGATGGGTTAGAACAGGACATCTCATTAACAATGTAACTTTTTTTTTAAAATTAAAGATGGGGTCTCACTGTGTTGCCCAGGTTGGTCTTGAACTCCTGGGCTCAAATGGTCCTCCCACCTGAGCCCTCCTGAGTAGCTGGGATTACAGGTGTGCACCACCATCCCCACCACATGATAACTCCTTTTTTTTTTTTTTCTGAGGTGGAGTCTCGCTTTGTTACCCAGGCTGGAGTGCAGTGGTGCAATCTCAGCTCACTCCAACCTCCGCCTCCTGGGTTCATGCCATTCTCCTGCCTCAGCCTCCCGAGTAGCTGGGACTACAGACACTGCCACCACACCTGGCTAATTTTTTGTATTTTTAGTAGAGACAGGGTTTCAATCTCAATCTCCTCATTGATGTTAGCCGGGATGGTCTCAATCTCCTGACCTCGTGATCTGCCCACCTCAGCTTCCCAAGTCCTGGGATTACCTGCATGAACCACCGCGCCCGGCCGATAACTCTTATTAAATTATAAATGTAAACTCTTTTCCTTTGCCTCTTCCCAAAAAAGAAACTTTAAGAATACACTGGCCAGGGGTGGTGGCTCACGCCTTTAATCCTGACACTTTGGGAGGCTGAGGTGGACGGATCACTTGAGCCCAGGAGTTTTGAGACCAGCGTGGGCAACAATGGCAAAACCCCATCTCTATACAAAAAATACAAAAATTTGCTGGGCGTAGTTGTGCACAACTGTAGTCCCAGCTGCTTGGGAGGCTGAGGTGAGAGAATAGCTTGCACCTTGGAGGTGGAGGTTGCAGTGAGCCAGGGTTGTGCCACTGCATTCCAGCCTAGGTGACAGAGTGAGACCCTGTCTCAAAAAAAAGAAAGAAAAAAAGAAAAGGATACAGCATAAAAAATGGATTTTCCAAAGCACATATAATGAATGGCATAGATCATTTTCATTATATTTGAAAAAAGCAAGATTCAGAATTATATTCATGATTCATGTCTCAGTTTTATTGAGACAAGTCTCAATTTTGTGTTAAATATATATTAGAAAATACATAGGATAGTTCTAGATTGTATAATTAGGAATGGTTTTCTTTTTATTTTGCCTTTCTGTTTATTTCCCAATTTTCTACAATGAGCATGGAGCAAGGAGTAATAATAAAACACATTGAAGATAAAGTGTTTAATTTTTTTTATATGATTTAAATGTGTAGTCTAAGGATAGTTAATTTATATTGTTACAGTAAAGATTTTCTCCTTTATTTGTCTTTAATAATAGTCACCATGATACAGAAGTCAGCATCCAGCCATGGTGCTCTCTGCACAGAACAGTCTGTTACTGTTTTCTTCCTCTATTTCTAGGAATCCATTGAATCCGTTTTCGTTTTTTCCCCTTTATCAAAGGTTGAATTAATAAAAGGGAATTTACAAAGTGTTGGACTTACACTTCGTCTCGTCCAGTCAACTGATGGGTATGCTGGGCACGTCATCATTGAAACTGTGGCTCCAAACTCACCTGCTGCAATTGCAGATCTTCAGCGGGGAGATCGACTTATCGCCATTGGAGGTAATTATGCTAATATGCATTATACTTTACCTTTACAGATAAACTGCAAAGTAGGTGTGAGGTTTTTCCTCCCTTCCTTTTTCCTTGTTTCTATAATATGCATATATTACTTTTATAATGAAATAAAGTAATAAACTTTATTATAAATAAACATTCGAAGGAGGCCTTCAAAATACATTTAAAACATACATGCCATTTTAGTTCTAATGTATAAATCTTTAAAATACTTTATTTAGACCACTTTTATATAACCACTCTATTCCTTCCCTTCCCACCTTCTACTACTATATTTTTTCTTGAATGTGAAAGTAAGGACAAATAAACAGTTAGGTTATCTTTCTGTATGACTACCACCATTTCTACTCTGAACCTAAAATTGGTAATATTAGCACTACTGCCCCCATCACTTAGCACTAGATAATGAGCAGCAGAGGAACTAACATTCCTTTTCCAGGAGGGCACATCTGAACTGTCCTGTGACCCTGTGTCATCTGAATGGCCAGCCATTTGTTAGTATGTTGTTGCTCAGAATTCAGCCCAAATCACTGGTGGAAAAATGTGTCACTTACATGCCTTCCTATCACTTGGATTGTTAACAGTAAAAACTCTCCAAAGTTAGCAGATTATTTGTTTGTATATAAATGTCTAAGCAGTAGGACTCACTGTGCACAGCAGTGGAGGGAAAGTCCAAGCCTTTTCAACCTTTGTAGTACCTGTCCCATCTATTCTAGGCTTGTTGAGAGATTTCTTGAACATATGGTTGGTCACAGTTGATCTTCTCAGGGCAATGTGATATTTTTTTTCGCAGCTTAGACAATAAATAAGTTAGAACAGTTCCCAAATCAAGGTGCAGTTGTCCTTAGTTACATGTCAAAGAAACTCTGCCTTTGATTCAAATCCATCTTGACAATAAAATAATGAAAATTATTTAGTTGCATACCTGGGAGCCCAATTAAGTTAATATTTTCACATGGAATCTCTCTGATCATGGCATAATCAGTGCTTCTCAAACTTTCCCATGTATGCCAGTCACCCAGACCTGATGTTAAAATGTGCATTCTGAATCAGGAGACCTGTAGTGGGGCCCAAGATTCTGCATTTCTCACAAACTCCTCCCAAATGATGATGCTCATGCATAAACTCTTAGGGAGGCATAAAATAGACATCATTCATTATATTAATATTTAATATTTTGGTTTTACCTACAGGATAGAATTAATTTTTTTGGTCTTTTTTGGGGGTTGTGTTTCAATTACACAAGTAGTAAATACCTATTATCAAAAATAAATTAATTAACCTAAGCGATATAAATGTATACAGAATGAAAAAGCAAAAGTCATCCCTTGACATCTAACATTTGTTAATAATGATAACAATAGGCCGGGCTCGGTGGCTCACGCCTGTAATCCCAGCACTTTGAGAGGCTGAGGCGGGCGGATCACCTGAGGTCAGGAGTTCGAGACCAGCCTGGCCAACATGGTGAAACCTGTCTCTACTGAAAATACAAAAATTAGCTGGGTGTGGTGGTGGGTGCCTGTAATCCCAGCTACTCAGGAGGCTGAGGCAGGAGAATTGCCTGAACCTGGAAGGCAGAGGTTACAGTGAGCTGAGATCATACCATTGCAGCACTCCAGCCTGGGCAACAAGAGTGAAACTCCATCTCAAATAATAATAATAATAATATTTATTAAGATGAAGGGCAGATACAATATACAATTTTTTTTTTTGAAACCTGGGGACATAACAGAAAAACTTTTGTATGTCTCTTGTTTTTTGTTTTTTTCTGTACATAAATATATGCCTTTCCCAGTTTTTGTTTAGGAAACAAAAATTTCTAAACTGCATTTTTGTAATAGTCTTTATTTCTTTCAGCGTGTTGTAAACTTTGCCCATGTCAACAGATATTTTTCAAAACATTTTTATATAGCTTTGATTCATTTATATGGGTATATAATTGGTGATAATTGAAATAAGATTGGCAGAATATTATATTTGAAACTCAAAATGGAATTCATTTTACTGTTTCCTCAACTTTTGAGTATGTTTGAAATATTCCAAAAGAAAAATCCAGACTTGAATAGTGTATTCCTGAGAGAGAGTTGCCATGGCCATCTCCACAAAACACCTGATGACTGAGGAATAGATGAGACGAGGGCAGATTTTTAGTCATAAAAAATGAGTTCAGATTGAGTTGAAGTTTTTGCCTACTGTAGATCATTAGATGGACTCATTTTTCATTTATGCATATGTCAAACTATAATTTTGCTGAGACATAGTGTAGTTAGAAGGACATAGTAGAACTTAACGCTAGATAAATAATGAAGCACCATATTAGAAAGCTCTGAATTTCCATGTGATAAGTTTGTAGGCTAAAAGGGCAAACGCTTTAGGAAAATTTGGTAGCAATATGTTTGGTGTTTGAAGTAGGGAAGGTCTGAGTGAGAGATTGCAGTAAAGGGCTGTTTATTGCTAAAGTGAAGGCCAGTTATCAGGAGGATCTGAAGAGGGAAGGAAAATCGGCTGAAATCACAAGTTTGAGTTGACAGCTGAATGTTTCTAGGGAGTCAGCTATCCCTAGGATTCAGATTAAGTTAACTGGGAGTGGCAAGTTGATTGATAGTAGTGAGGACAGAGAGACAGTCAAAGAAAGATTTTAGCTCTGCTGAAAATTTAGTCCCAAAGGAACGTCCAGGTGGTGAAGTCCAGTAGTTGGGAATGTAGAACTAGAGTGAAGAAGGGAAACCAAAGAAAAAGTTGATAGTTTTTGAAACTACTGGAGTAGCTGTAATTTACCAGGGAGAAAGCAAAAAAGGGTGAGAGAACTAGTGCCAAACTTTGGTAACAGTTGCATATAAGGTGCACGTGGTATAGGTGGAGAAAAAGAAACTAGAGGAGAGATGATCAGAACCAATTGTGTAAAGTGTTGTGGAAACAAAGAAAAAGAAAAATTTTAAAGAAAAAGCAGGAAGGAAGAAAAAGTATAAGGATAATTGATAGAGCAAAGTCAGGAAGGAGATAGGATTGGATCCAAAGTAAGTATACAAATACAGGGATACTTTCTCCTCTGAAGATAATACTAAAAATGATTGGTAGGGAAAAAAGGTAGCTTCATGATCTTTTTGGCAAATAAGGTGATATCATCCACAGAGTAAAAGAGAGTAGGGAGAGTAGACTCTAGGGAAACAGGAAAGGTTTGCAGCTGATATTTGAGAGACTTAGTTGTTTAGAGACCAATCAAAAGAATGCTAAGCAGCCCTGAACACCTTACCAAAGATGGATGGCTAACTTCATGCAGATCCAGGTGGCAAGCTCAAGAGCAGGAAAGGGCAATAGTGGGGCTAGTAAAGCTAGGGATCAAAAAACACGAGGACAAGACAATAAAATATTGGTAAGAATATCACTGTAATCTTGAGACATAGGGTTTGATAGAAGAGCAAGTGGTATCAGGAGACCAACAGGACCATGAGAAGAAAAGAGGAATGATTGGGCCGGGAAGTTGCCTAGAAGTAGTAAGCAGACAGGATTGTAAGAGGTGAAAAATAGGAGATTGTGATCAGAGAGTAATTGAAAATGAAAGATCTTTGATGTGGACAAGTTCCAAGTGATGACCAAGTCTAAAGGCTGATCTTCCCAGACAGCTAATGTAAGAGGACACAGGTTGAGGAACCCTGAAGTCAAGTTATGAGAAGGGGGTGGTATTACTTAGATTTATTTAGGATGGCCCTAAGATCTTTGGAAAACAAAGAGCCTTCTTATTCTTTCTCTAAGTTCTACATAAAGGGATAGCTTGGGCAAGTGCTGTTTTAGAGAGTGTGGGAAGAGTGACAGGAAACAAGTAGCACCTTTCAGTGCTAACACACCTAGAATATCTATAGAAGAATACACTAGAAGCTACTAAGGTCAGGGAAGGGACAGTATGTCTGGGAGATAGAAGTGGAAAGAATATTTTTTACTGTACATCTTTTTATACCTTTCGAATTTTAAACTACGTGTAACAATTAAACAGTTAGAAAAATCAAAACTTAACATAGATATTACAGATACAGATAGTAACCAACTTGTTTAACTTCAAAGCAGTTTGTCCCTTACTTGTTCTTTCTGGTTTTGAAAAAGATGAATGTGATGGATAGAGTTGATAAAAAGAATCTGTAAAAGTATGTTATTCATAGTATAGTATTTTGCTACATTATTTTCAAGCACTAGTCTCTTAATTTGAATCATTCATTATAGGTCTTGTAATCCCTGGAGTATTTTAGAATTTCCTTCAGTGGAATCACAGCTTTCCCTAAGTCTGATATAGCCATTAATAGAAGCCTTTAAATAGATCTCCCTCTGTTCACTTCTTCAGTTCAAACTGAGAGATGTCATCTAACCTATGAAGAGATAAAAAGCAATTAGGAATTAGCATCGTGGCACTCTTTTAGGGATCCTGTGTCATCATCTGGTTTGAAAAGATAAACATCTCCAGGATATCAGCACATTCAGGGTTTGAGAATTAGCACACCAATTCATCAAAAAGCTAAATAAGATATTGTTGAGGTTTTCCTATTACTCTTCTATTAGTTAAATAACCAGAGGTAATGGCAATTATATATATTTAATTAAATATATTTAACAAATGTAATTTCTATTGCAGTAATTTACATGTTTTCCCTTTTAAAATCTTAAACCAGGTGTGAAAATTACATCAACACTGCAAGTATTGAAACTTATCAAGCAGGCTGGTGACCGAGTTCTGGTGTACTATGAAAGGCCTGTTGGCCAGAGTAATCAAGGTGCAGTGCTGCAAGATAACTTTGGCCAGTTGGAAGAAAACTTTTTGTCAAGCTCATGCCAATCAGGTTACGAAGAGGAAGCTGCCGGGTTGACAGTAGATACTGAAAGCAGAGAGCTGGATTCTGAATTTGAAGACTTGGCAAGTGATGTCAGAGCACAAAATGAGTTCAAAGATGAGGCACAATCATTAAGTCACAGTCCCAAACGTACTCCAACAACACTTTCTATTAAACCCCTTGGAGCTATATCACCAGTTTTAAACCGTAAATTAGCTGTAGGAAGTCACCCACTACCACCAAAAATTCAGTCCAAAGATGGAAATAAACATCCACCCCTAAAAACTTCTGAGATAACAGACCCAGCACAAGTGTCAAAACCCACCCAAGGATCCACTTTCAAACCACCCGTGCCACCACGACCACAAGTGAAAGTTCCTTTGCCTTCCACTGATGCTCCAAATCAGGCAGAACCAGATGTTCTTGTTGAAAAGCCAGAGAAGGTGCCGCCGCCTCCTCTTGTAGATAAATCTGCTGAAAAGCAAGCAAAAAATGTGGATCCCATAGATGATGCAGCTGCATCTAAGCAATTTTTAGCAAAGCAAGAAGTGGCCAAAGATGTCACTTCAGAAACTTCCTGCCCTACTAAGGACAGTTCGGATGACCGTCAAACATGGGAATCATCAGAAATTCTTTATCGTAATAAGCTAGGAAAATGGACAAGAACCAGAGCATCCTGTTTGTTTGACATAGAAGCCTGTCACAGGTACCTAAACATTGCACTGTGGTGCAGGGATCCTTTTAAGTTGGGAGGTCTCATCTGTTTGGGGCATGTTAGTTTAAAACTTGAAGATGTGGCTTTAGGATGCCTAGCTACATCAAACATGGAATACCTTTCCAAATTGAGACTGGAAGCCCCCTCACCTAAGGCAATAGTCACTAGAACTGCTCTGCGTAATCTGAGTATGCAAAAGGGATTCAATGACAAATTTTGCTATGGTGACATTACTGTTCACTTCAAATATTTGAAAGAAGGAGAATCAGACCACCATGTAGTTACTAACGTAGAGAAAGAAAAAGAACCCCATTTGGTTGAAGAAGTTTCTGTTCTCCCTAAAGAGGAGCAATTTGTTGGACAGATGGGTTTAACAGAAAACAAACACAGTTTCCAGGATACTCAATTCCAGAACCCAACATGGTGTGACTACTGTAAGAAAAAAGTTTGGACTAAAGCAGCTTCCCAGTGTATGTTTTGTGCTTATGTTTGCCATAAAAAATGTCAAGAAAAGTGTCTAGCTGAGACTTCTGTTTGTGGAGCAACTGATAGGCGAATAGACAGGACCCTGAAAAACCTTAGGCTTGAAGGACAGGAAACCCTCTTAGGCCTGCCTCCTCGTGTTGATGCTGAAGCTAGCAAGTCAGTCAATAAAACAACAGGTTTGACAAGGCATATTATCAATACTAGTTCTCGTTTATTAAATTTGCGTCAAGTCTCTAAAACTCGCCTTTCTGAACCAGGAACTGATCTCGTAGAACCTTCACCAAAACACACACCCAACACGTCAGACAACGAAGGCAGTGACACGGAGGTCTGTGGTCCAAACAGTCCTTCTAAACGGGGAAACAGCACAGGAATAAAGTTAGTGAGAAAAGAGGGTGGTCTGGATGACAGTGTTTTCATTGCAGTTAAAGAAATTGGTCGTGATCTGTACAGGGGCTTGCCTACAGAGGAAAGGATCCAGAAACTAGAGTTCATGTTGGATAAGCTACAGAATGAAATTGATCAGGAGTTGGAACACAATAATTCCCTTGTTAGAGAAGAAAAAGAGACAACTGATACGAGGAAAAAATCACTTCTTTCTGCTGCCTTAGCAAAATCAGGTGAAAGGCTACAAGCTCTAACACTTCTTATGATCCACTACAGAGCAGGCATTGAAGATATAGAAACTTTAGAAAGTCTGTCTTTAGACCAACACTCCAAAAAAATAAGCAAGTACGCAGATGATACAGAAGAAGACCTTGATAATGAAATAAGCCAACTAATAGACTCTCAGCCATTCAGCAGCATATCAGATGACTTATTTGGCCCATCCGAGTCTGTGTAGCAGACAGGTCTATTTAAACTTTCAAATCAACGGGGTAAAGTTGCATCTAAAGTACCACAGATACAACCATGTTTAAATCCTCTTATGCACTCTGGCCTGCTTCTCCAGTTACTTGCTTGTGTAAGAACAAAAATGAAAAAGGTTGTTTTCCAGTAAAAACATGACCAGCTTACTAATTGGTTGTTTTGGATTGCATTTATAGCTATGCTTTTTTGGGTTTATACTGGGAATTTATTTTTACTAATTTATTTTTAACTTTTCTAATTATGTAATTATATAAGCTAACTTTTCATGTTTATGTATGTATAGTGTCCCCTTGTGTTATTTTCCTTCCTCTTGGTTTTTGAATTAGTGTTAAATAGAATACTGTCTAGATTCTTAAAATATTTTCATTTCCATCATGGTTATAACAAATTTGCTGCATGCCCAAATTGACAACAGCAATCATTGAGGGAACAGGTTTTTGAATCTTTTGTGTTAGGAAGTTTATCGTCTCTACTTGCTTGAGATTTTTGTTATATTGGGGGTTTGGGGGTGCTTTTTGTTTTGTTTTTGCCAAACATAACATGAAAGCAGATGCTGCAGCTTTAGTCTGTTATGCTGATTTAGTTAAAAAAAAAAAAAAAAACTTTTTTACATATATTGCTTGCTTTCAATACTTCTGTGAAATTTTTTTCTAAAGCTTTTGTGCAGCTGTATGGTAAACATGGTGATTAATTTGAAGAGCTTACACTGAAAGACAATGTAATAGGAAATAAATGTAGAATGCAGTTGGTCAAGAATTTTGTAGAGGATAACAAGACTTAATTACTGAAAAACAGTCACATAGCATTTTTAAATATAATCTTTTAAAATATTGATGCTTTCCTTTTAAATGGAAATTTAAATTTTATGATTAAAAGTTTAAACATCTATGATAATTTTCCTTATCAGTTCTCCCATAGGAAATAAAGCATGTGAAAGGGTATTTAAAGTTTTGGAGGACTCTTTTTAAAATGACTGTGTTGATAACTAGTTTGGGCTGGTTTTGTTTTAGAAACATTTTAATGTAGGAGTATTCTGTGAAGGAAAGGAATCATGCAAAATATACTTATTGCTTTGGCATCTCACAGTTGTAAAGGAATGGTGATCATTCTGAATACTTCTGTGTAAGTATTCATTAAGAAAAGAATGAGAAAAACAGACAGTATTCATACATAGGAATTGGGACCAGTTCTCTAAAAATGAAGATATACTCATACTGGGTCCATTTTATGGATTCCAGTAACACATGACTGAGGGAAAACAAGTAGGCTTGACTGCTGTTGGGGTACCTTAATAGTTTCGGTCTGTTATATATCTATAAAATAGACAAGTATATGTTTATCCCTTTTGTAGGTAACTGCTATGATGATTGCTATATAGTGAAACTGACATGAGTTTAAAACTAGATGGAGCAGCTTTTATTGCTGGCAGGAAAAAGCATGGTGTAATATTAAGGATTGGGGCCCAGGTCTAGAGTCCAGGACTCCATAAAAGAGTTTAAGTTCAAGCCCTTCCATTAACGAACTGTGCAAGCATAGGCAGTTACAAAAGGACTCCATCCCACAGTTTACCCATCTCTAAAATGGGAATAATACTACTTTCCCTCCCTCACAGTATTGTTGTGAGGAAAACAATAGCATAACTGCAAAAGTGCTTTGAACAGTAAAAAGATATACAAGTAAAAGGCATTATTTATATGAGTGAGAAAGACATTTTTGAGGGTAGAAAAGTTATTCGACTTTAAAAATCAATAGCCAAGTCTCATGCCTTTTGTTACTTTAGGAAGTGAAAATTTCAGGTACTAAATACCTTTCTTAGCCAAGTTTATAACAAAAACATCCAGTATACTTCATTACTTATTTAAGCGTGATCTCTTTTTCTTTCTTTCTTTCTTTCTTTTTTTTTTTTTTTTTGAGATGGTGTCTCGCTGTCTCCCAGGCTGGAGTGCAGTGGCGTGATCTCGGCTCACAGCAAGCTCCGCCTCCCGGGTTCACGCCATTCTCCTGCCTCAGCCTCCCGAGTGGCTGGGACTACAGTTGCGGCTAATTTTTTGTATTTTTAGTAGAGACGGGGTTTCACCGTGTTAGCCAGGATGGTCTCGATCCCCTGACCTCGTAATCCACCCACCTCGGCCTCCCAAAGTGCTGGGATTACAGGCGTGAGCCACTGTGCCCGGCCACATGATCTTATTTTAAAAGAACACTGCTATAGAAGAATTTACACACCAGATTCCCTGAAAGCTAAAGTATTGTTCTATAACTTACACTTGAAGCAGTCTGCTCAGTGTGTAACCACAACTGATTTTATAAAAAATAACTTACCATTGATAACCTGGAAGGTGGACTACTTGTAAGTGGCTGGTGTTTACTGATTAAACCATGGAAGTTTTCATGATACCCAAGCATGTTGCTGAAACTGATGCATTTGAAAGAGCTGTTGAAATAATGCAGAACTTTGGTTTTATAAGAATCTACTCATGTTTTAAAAGTATTTAACTACGTAGACCACAATTATAGAAAGCTCAGTGATGCTGCTAATGACGTTTGTAAACTATATCTGTAATGTAGTGCAATATTTTTATATTTCACTGGGAGAGGCAGTAGAGACATCATAGTTGTACTTTAGTGCAAGCGGGGGAACACTCCAAATAGCCTAGAGTATAGTAAGGTATAAAGCTTCAATGAAAAAAGCTGTATTATATTACATTACTGATGTAATCTTGCTGCCATGCTATGTATCAATAGCTAAAAAATAATAATAAAGACTACCACAGAAAACAAGAATATCTTCATTTAATGACATCTTTAAAAAAGGTGATTGCTGCATCTCTATGGAATTATCTTATGGTATAATTTGGCCATGCAGAAAAGCATAACAAAGTCCACTTTTCCTAAACAAAATTACTGTTTTGCAGACTGCCCCAAAATATTTTTTTACTATTGTTTCCTTATGGATTATCAAGTTTATGGGTTTTCTTTGACTATTAGACTTTAAACATTTTCTACGTTAGTGTTAGCTGAATGAATGGTTTAGACAAACTGAGCAACGTTTTAGCATTATTAGCAATCATAATAGGCTATATTTCTTCATATCAAGCCTTACATTCAGTATCAGAAGTACTTGAAATAAGTGGCTATTTTGTGATGCTGGGAGGAGAAAACAACCTAAAAATTTTGAGGGGTACTATCAAGTTCTAAATGTATAGCTTAATTTTTTTAAAGCAATTTGGAAATATTTGGCTCTTACTAATGAGATAAATAATAAAATCTTAAGTTCCCTAAAAGTGAATAAATTTTAAATACCTACTTTTAAAAATATTCCTTAACTTCTAAATTGACATAACAGCTTTTCTTACCAAAAAAAGGGGAGAGGTTCCCCTAATTCCTTTTGGGCCATAGATCCCCTTTTAAGATCTGATTAAAGATGTGGACTTTCACCACAGGAAGATACCCATTGGCACACCATTCAAAATGTATCAGATTTCAAGGGTTTTACGGAACTCCCCTGGGTTTATGTCAAATGGGTGGATATTATAGCTGTTTTCATCAGGTATGGTTATTTGTTGACAACCAACAGGACAACAGTGTTTATAGATGCAAGGATAACTTACTGGTTTTTTTCCACATTGAATGTGTCTAGTTACATATCTCAATTTAAAATAAATTGTGGGAAGCCAAAAAAGTATGGTCAAGCTAACCCGGAGTGGCTTTTACCTGATTCCTACAAGCACAGAAGAATAGTTTTTAATTAAATATCCACAGTCAAAATGATACCTTATGTATTTTATTCCAACAACATTTGGTTTATAAAGGAATACAAACAGGCACAAAACATGATTCAGAAGATTTATTAAGTAAACTTGCTAAAATATGGACAGATGCACTTAGCAGTCAAACAGCTGAATATTCATTGCTACCTCATTCAGGTTTTTGTATCTGTATTACCGGGTACGAACATAAAAACCACCTCTGTTCAAAAAATAAATGTTCAGAGAACTGTATGTTATTTGTTCTGGTACATACATTTAAAAAAAAAAAAATTTTCAGTCTTGCTAACCAAGAATATTAGTCATATTCTATTCTATGACTTATAATTTTTTCCCCCAAGTACAACCTATCTTTTGCTCCCAAAGCAGTTCTGAAGGTTTTATTTATATTTTATCTTATCTTGAGGGACCAACAGCAGGCATACCTTTGCCAGGCCTTCTTGCAGAAAGACACAGAGCCATAAAGGCAAAAATAAAATTGCAATAAAGTATACGGTATTGGGGGCAGGGAGAACCAGAAACCCTCAAAGAGAACCAATTTGTAACACGTTCTTTTTTAAGGCTCTACCCCTGTAGAGGTAAGAAACTAGCCTGCCTTTTTAGCCACATGAGAATTTCCTCCAGAGCCATCTTCCAAAGTAGCAGACTTGGCCAAGTTGACCAATGCCAAATAAGTGACTTGGAAGTTTGTTTGCTTCAAACGCACTGCAGTTGGAAACCAGACTTGAAATAATCGAAGCCCCACAGAAAAGCTTCATGAAACAAAGGAAGTGTTACTTTCCTAGAGAATAAGAAAGTCACAAGATTGAGGAGTCTTTGTTCTAAAGTTCTTTGCTCCTTGATGTCCAAGTTAACACAAACACAATCTTAGCTTAACAAAACTAAGTAATTTTTGTTTATGATTATGGAACTGCAGGATTAACAACTATTATTAGAGACATTCCACACTGCACACTCCAGTCGTATCTCTTAACAAAACGACATAAATTGACAATGTTCACTAACAGTATTTGCTGTTACACTGAAAAGGCACATCAATGTTGTCATGCTTAGAAAAATACACGACACTGAACACTGGATGATATAGTTAGCACATACATTTTTAGATGTTCCATTTTTCTTTTCTGCCTGATCACTATTATTTTTACTTCTTAATATATGATTCAAGACATAATTTCATTCCTCATTTTCATTTAAAAGTTGTCTTCACATTGATGTGAACAACTTTCAGGAGTCTAAAAAATCATAGTTTCAGACAACCTAAAATAAACATATTCCTAGAAAACACTTGGATGATCTGCACACAGATCAAAGATACAGTCAGATATTGAAGTCAGAGCATCTGTTTTTAGCCTCGTTTCTTTTTCTAAAACTTGAAGTAGATGGCGATTAACCTTATCATGTTTAAACAACCTTGACAGTGTAAGGTACATGTACCCTCAATTTTCTTTCATCCAGTAAGACAAGTATGCATCTTAAAGGGAAAGCTTTTAGTTCATAACAATATGTTTGGTTGCTTTTCTCTGCTTTCAGAACATTTACTATTTTCCCCTTATTGGCTTTAGTGTCTGCTGCCAACCAGATAACGTGTTAACATACAATTTACAACTCTCTTCTAGGTAGGTGATTACATAAGAAACTAACGCCAGCTAAGATTTATGGATTCAAAAGATAACTGACACAAGTTCTTGTCCTCTACACTTGAGAGAACTAGCTCTTTAACTCATAAATATATTGATAGTAACTACAAGTTAAATAACACTCATGCAGTGTCACTATATAACTTGCTGTCTTACTTGATTCTGTTTTTCAGACTTCATTCTAGTTTCTCTTTGTTAGAAGAGTCTCAGAGATAATGTGTGCTTTAATTTTAAACACTCATTACCAATATGATTTTTGCCCAAATGTTTGCTAATGTAAGTTAAAAAATTATATTTGGTTTGGATTCAAATATTTATAGATTTACACAATACCTATTTCATCAAAATATATTGTATGATATTTAATAAAATCAAATACATAAAATAAAGTTTCAACACTATTTATACAAACCCCTAGAAAAGCTTCTTTTTCTTTATAAGGCTGTTGGCAATCGACCATAACCATGGAAAAGAAATAATAACCTTTGGTTTTACTCTTTCACCAGGGATGGATGGTATGACTAAGACAGTTCTGGATGAGTCGTGTCACTGGAAACACTGTTTTATACAATTAAACACTTGGACGATTTCTGAGGGTCTCAGTCACTTTCAGATTCTTCATCATCACCTATTGGATAGGACTGGATATTATTCTGAGTGTACATTTTTGTTTTAATAGGGCAGTTGTGATCCATGAGAATAGCCTAAAAGAGAGCAAAGTGCAAGTATATTAACTTCTTGTTTCATAAAGATAAGATGGTTTTAACCTACTGTTTTTAAGGATTATTAATTTGAAAGCTATGTAGTATTACTTGCTACCAGTCATTTGGAGCAATTGCCAGATGCCTGACCTAAAAGACCTGTAGTTCTACACTCTAAAAATTCCAGGCAATTGGAGACAGCAGAAGTGGTCCCTGCAGTATTTTCATTATATCTGTCAGGGGCCATAAGTCCACTGTGGGAACTTATACTCTATGAAGCAAGGGATAGGCAGGTTAGGTTTGTTATACTTAGAATCTTGGAATTGGGGAATGGGGATCCTGGAGGTCACCCAGTCCAACTTCTGTTTACAGACATCATTGTGGCAACACACCTTGAAAAGATTTGCTCTCTCCTTAACGAAAGAAGCCCTCACGTGTGAGAAATGTACCTAAGTCTGGAACAACCCGTTTCCATTGTTTGCATTCATGAATCTGGTTCTGATATCTTTTTCTTTTTTTTCTTTTTTTGTTTGAAACGAAGTCTTGCTTCATCAGCCAGGCTGGATCGTGGTGTTATGATCTTGGCTCACTGCAACCTATACCTCCTGGGTTCAAGCAATCCTCCCACCTCAGCCTCCTAAGTAGCTGATATTACAGGTGTGCACCATCACGCCCAGCTACTTTTTTTGTATTTCTAGTAGAGTCAGGGTTTCATCATGTTGGCCAGGCTGGTCTTAAACTCCTGACTTCAAGTGATCTCCCTCCTCAGCCTCCCAAAGTGCTGGGACTACAGACATGAGCCACTGCACCTGGCCAGTTCTGATATCTTCACAGGCTGCCCTTACAATCTTTTGTTGTTGTTTTGAGACAGAGTCTCACTCATGCCATAGTGCACTGGTGCAATCTCAGCTCACTGCTGCTTCCCGGGCTCAAGCCATCTTTCCACCTCAGACTCCTGAGTAGCTGTGACTACATGCATATGCCACCAAGCCTGGCTAATTTTCAATTTTTTTTTTTTTTTTTTTTTTTTTTTTTTGGTAGGGATGAGATCTCACTATATTGCCCAGGTTGCTCAAACTCCTGGGCTCAAGTGATCTTCCTGCCTCAACTTCCCAAAGTGGTAGGATTACAGGTGCAAGTGACCATGCCTGCCCCCAATCTTTTAAGACCATATTATCATGGCCCGTTAGATTTTTTTCTCAGGCCAAACATGCTAGAGCTATTCTTTTTTCACACATGTGATTTCCAGACCACCTCTCCCCAATCCTAGCTTTCCTCTAGCTTAAATATATGATTTTTTAAAAATCCTCTTCTTATGAGCATGAAACTCTCATGCCCTCCTTTATTGTTACTGAAAATTTAAAAACTGTGACAAAAACGTGCTGCTCTGCTTTCAAACCAGATTGTCAAATAAGTATTTGCTTATATTTGATAACACAGCTGGCATTTATCATGCCAAGAGCATGCTAAGCATTTTAGAGAAAATGCATCACAATAACCCTCTGTGGGAGGTGAGAAAACAGGCACGGAGCAGTTAAAGAATTTGACCAAGGGGTGTACAGCTAGGATGGGGCAGACAGGAGTCGCAGCACTCCATGGTAGTTAGACGAGCACAGAGGACAGCAAGGGGGCGTCATGTGCAACTAAAATAAATTATCAGGTATGTCTTGAGTTTCTCTCCATGTGAACTACTCCCCCAATATTTTCTTTTTGCAGTTTGCAAATCTAAATAGATAAAAATGTATCTGATGTTGGCCTATTGCAACCCATCTTGTCTGTTAGCTATTACTCCCAGCTCTTGTCCCCAGATAAGACTCCACTCAGTGCTTAACCCATTGATCATTTCCCAAGACATTCTCCAGTGATCTGTGTAACATGTGAAGATAAGGACTTCCTTGACCCTCTAAGTTAGGCTGCCAGCTCAACCTGTCAGCTTCTAACTTAACTGTTTCTTTTTATGCTGCTTGCCAAATGAATTGATACTTGTATTCAATAAAGAGCTCAATTTTTAAAATAATGGCGGCATTAGACTTGGTACACCAGGACTGTTCTCCCCACGTAACACAAAGGTTTAACCCCCCTAACAATAGATGTCTCATCACCCCAAGATTAATGATTCTCGAGGAAATGTAGGGGTGGAGAGATGGAGCAGGTTAAAACATGAAATTTGACAGTGGTCCTCTCGTGACAATGGTGTCAACAAACTGAGAAACACTGCCCTAGTTACATGGCATTATCTAAGACTATAGCACTGTCATCTGGCTGACAACAGCTGATGGGACACCTATTAGGTGTTGCATGTCAGTGCCCTTAAGGTCCTATCCCAGCATCTTAGTTACCTCCCTGCACGGGCAAGAACAGGGACTCCAGGGTCCCGGGTGGAGTGCTCACTTCTGGTTCAGTGCCCAGGGAAAGCTATCCTGTAGAGGCGGGAGTTGAGGTAAACTTTGAAAGATGGAAAAGATTTGGACAGCAAGGGAGGTGACAATGAGTAAAACGAGTTATTTACCAAGCAGGACACTAAGCAAGCCACCCTGGCCACCACAGACGTCTGCTGAAGAGGCACCGTGAGATACCAGTTGGGACACCCAACTGGAATGCAGGGCATGGGGCCTCGATCCTTGCATGGCCCCCAGGCAGGCAGGTCACCTTATAAAGAACGGTCATCACTACCTTATTCCTAATTGCCTTCCATCTCTTGGCTCATCCACATTAGACCTGAATGTATGAATATGTCATTTTAAGGACCCCAGAACCTAGGACTGGGCACATGATATGAACACAACAAAAAAACTGCACTGCAGGAAAAGCAGTTCAGTCAGACCGATTATTTGGCATCATGCAGGCTTAACTGACCAGCATTTGTCAATTCACCCAAACCATATTTATTAACAGCCTGTTTCAGGTAAAGTTTTCTTCCTTTAAACGTTCTGTAGCCTTTAAAACCTAGCTCGCTGGCTTCCAAACCTCTCTTGAAAGATTTATTGTGCAATAATTGTACTTTTTTAAAAAAATACACAATTAAATAAGCCAGGTGGCACGTAATGTTTCAAAAGTGCCATGAAGAAAGGCATGAACAGCATCAAGCGGGTCAGTCAGGTGCCCGGGGAACAAGCAGGGTGGACACAATGCAGGCAGGTAAATTAAACCTGCTCTCCACACACTGCTGTGGTGAGGAAGGTGTGTTTGACTCGCAACCGAAGAGAAAATCAATAGGAGGGGATTGGCATTTGAATTCAGAGCAAAGCCCACTTACTGAGAGGTGAGCCCCAGCCCCTCCAAATGCCCCTTTCATGAATTAGGATCTCCTAAGTGGTAAAAACAAACAAACAAACAAACATGGTGGACCAAATGAAAAGTAAAAGTAATATAAATACAAAGCTGGGGTAGTGAACCCATAAAAGCTATTAAAAGATAAGAGTGCCAGTCTTTGAGATTTTGATAGGTACCAGGCCCTCTGAGTAGGCAAGTTTTATTTTCTTTAACATAACTAGAAAAGCAATGATGGTTTTGCACCCACTATTTAAATGCCTGCAAAGGGGCAAATTCCATAAACAACTTATAATATGCAGAATGTGGTCTATCTCAGCAGCCTCCGGCTACCCCATCCTTGCCCCACCCATGGCATCCAGAAAACAGAGCTGTTGCTGGAAGGGCTTTATGGAACAACTATCAGAGCCATCCAGGAAAAGAAAGCTGCAATCCTCAAACCACCTAATTTCTTGTCTTGGCAACAATTAGAAACTTCAAGAGTAAAATTAAGAAGCATGCCTTGTCTTTAAAAATAATTCTTCAACCTGGAAAAAAAAAATCCACAATACAGCTCTTCTCAACTGGGAACTTTGAGAGTGAAGCGCTACCATGTAACTGTCTTATAACACAATTTTCCTCAAATGGTGATGTTGATATTTCCTGTATGCAGAGGGACTTGAGTAACAGGTTTTTTTCTCCACCTATACTGATAATGCTGATTATAAACAATGGAAATCCAGTAAACCAAATGGAAGACAAACTCACATGCTCATAAACTAGTTCCTGATTCTATCCCTGGCGATCCATTAAAACAGCATTATACCTTACAATATAAAACAGCTTAAGTCCAAACACCTTGTTATAAGGATGCTGTCTAATGGAAGAATGATTTGCTAAGGGTCATATGCCTTCTGGCCCTCACATCCCCCAGCATTTGGCAACTGCTCATCCTGAACGCCAGCACTTGTCTGCTCTGGGGTTTCTCAACTGCATGGTCATTGATTCTTCCTCCTCCCTCACACACTGCTGTCCTGCCTGCATGCCCCCTTATCATTAGGTGTTGTCGGCCGCCACCGCTGGCTTCCTGCTCTGCTTACACAATGAGTAGGCAGCAGCTGCTAGTCACCACTCTCAAATGTCACCATTAGGCCAGTCGAATGGCATCCGACGTGATGCCTTCAATTATGGGCATCATTGATGGGCAGCGAGATGCACGCCTTCTCAAGTTTTTAATGATTTATCTTGCTAGGTGCTTATTAAGGATTGTAACATCTTGCAATGAAAGTGGCTTTCTGGAAACCTATAATTCTTACTGTTTTGCCTTTCAGGACCGTCTCTTCCACTTCCTTCAGCATTTTTTTAAAAAAAATGAACTAAAGTATTCGTTTAAATTGGGAAAGAGGAGGGGTATTGAGGCCCGCCTTCTGCTAGTCCTTCTGCAGAACACAGTGGCTGGGCAAGCACCTTCCCTGCTCGTCCTCTGACCTCATTCATTTCCCACGGCCACAGATAAGCCATCAGGCTGCTATTCGCAAACGGACATCACAACAGCCACTGATGTTGGCCGGCTTGGCAAAGGGAGCCCATTCATCTGTTTTGGGGTCTGTATAGCAAAAGGAAACTCTCACATCACAGAGGAGGAAAAAGGGAGAAAATTCAGGTATTGCTGGACTGACAGGGGAAGCCAGAGAGTTAGATAAGCAGGAAAGAGTTGGGTGATATTGGAAATAGGAACACATTTTTTGAGCCACAGGGCCAATCACTCTGTTGGGATTCTTCCATTTAATCCTCACAATCCTATGAGGTAGACATTATCATTTTTCCATGCAACAGAGAAGGAAACCAAGACTCATAAGCCTCTACATGGTGGGGCCAGTTTGGCTCCCAGGTCCACGCTAGCCCTAACTATCTCCCAGGAGTCTTCAGTCTCCTGGGCTACAGGAGGATTTGTAGGTGATTTTATACACGTGCGCACACACACGTATACACACATATCTACTTTTTTTTGGTCAAAAACATTGAGCGTAACCTCCATTCAACCTTAAACTGATATCGTGGCAACAGAATGGCAGTTTGCAGTTGTGCTGAGAATTTTCTGACTCCATTTGAGCAAGGTATTGCTAGGGTCAGCCAAGCAAAGATGCATCTGGAATTTACACACCCAAGCTGGAAAGCAGGTGTCTTCTAAGACAGGTCTGAGAAAGTGATGTGGCTTTCAGAGCTGGGAAAGCATTTAAGCAAGCGGAAGGAAGGACAAGGGGATGGCTCCTGAGTTATTTCCACAGCACCTTCCATACCTTTTCCATGAGTCAGATGGGCCATGCATTACTCAAAAGTGTCTAGTTAAATCCTATTTAAAATAAAGGGCACAAGGCCAGTGCCCAGTGCTTGATATATTTTAAAATATGTGGAATGAATTAATGAATGTAAAAAAACACCCAAGACAAACACAGGCTGCACATAACCTTATTTTAAGGTTTGTCTTTAAATCTCCTTTTGGGGAAAACCATCAAAGGGCAGTTCAGGAAATGCCAAAGCATTAAGATGCATTCAGTTCCACTGTCAGAAAGACCTTCTGATGTACTTCCAAGAGAACATTACAAACAAACCTCACATCTATTCACAAACACAAAAATGCATGTCCTCTTGTTCACCTCATTCATCCTTAATCCAAGACACTCTCCTTTCCCCTGGACAAGTACCTATCAGCATTTGCTGTTTTAAAAACTGGCAAAGCCAGATAAGAAAGATGATCAGAAACACTGAGCTTCTCCTTGCTGGGTAAGGTAAATACCTTAGAAAGGTTAAAATGACTCATTTCAAAATTCAAATTTTGAACCAATTAATTTGAACTTTTTCAAAAGAGGGATGCTTTATACTCTACATCTTGCCTATGGCTGTAATTTTGGTCATAAAGTTATAAACTAAATGGTTCTATATGTTCACATATACCCCAAAGTGCACACACAATGATTTTTCCATAAAAATCATAAAATCATCTTCAAAATCCTACCTACAGTAAAGACAAGACAGCAACTATTACTGAATGCTGTAAAGGTTATGAGAAAAGCAACAGCACCACAAATGGCTAACCTTGGGCATAAGTACAGGAGGCAGAAAGATTGTGTCCAAGATGTTCAAGAACCATAGAAAATCAAATTGAATGATTCTAGGTTTATGCTTGGTCAACAAAAGAGCAACACTGATGCTCATCTATGTACAAAAATAATTTCATTCTCCCAGTTTATAAACATAAGCTTGAAAGAAATAACTCTCACAGTAATAACAAAATAAAAGAAGTAACTGCTCTATGTGATACAAACTAAAAAGGAATTCTCACCATTTTTGTTTGGAGGCTTTAGAATGAAACCACAAGGAAGCTATCAGGAAAGCCATGCTAAAATTACCAAGAAATGCTCACTGCATCCTAAATTTTTCTTACCATTTTTTCTTCTTTGGCAGGTGGACTTCGAAGAAAAAAGCAGAGAGGGGCAAAAAGAATATCAATGATCCCAATAATTGTCATGAGCCACGGAAATCCAATTGCCTTTGCAATAGCACCACCAGCAGAAGGACCTTTCAGAAAACAGAGAATTAGATAAAGTTCTTTCCAAATGTCTTGTAGACTGAAAGATGCAAAGATTGAAATAATTTTAGTAGACATTATCCATTGTGTATTGAGGGAAAAGGTTATTATGAAAAGTCAATGTCCTTACCTATAGCATACCCCATACAAAATGCCACATCTGCAATGGCATACACACTCCCATAGACGGACACGTGCCGCAGGTCGACGAGGTAGCCCATGATGGGCATCATTGACGAATCCACCATTCCTGAGGACAGTCAGGGAACACAGTGTATAGCAAACAGATGTAAACCCAAAATGGGCTGAATATCAGGGACTGTGCCTTAAACTCACAACCCTGCCAGCTCTTCCCCTTCTGTTATCACCACCTGCAAGTCTTGGGGTGATACTAATCTTTGAGTAGAAAGAACAAAGGAAGCCTTTTCTGACCCCCCAGAGGAGGTCAGGTTCCCCTCGCACACAGATGTTCTCTCACAGCGTCATCTCAATTGTCATTCATTCTTCAATTCTTTGCTAAATGCCCAACTCTTCTGTTGGTTTTGTTCACCCATATCCCCAGCACTTGTACATTTTAGGAAGCCGCAAGCACCATTTCGATGAAAGAAATTTTCCTCATCTGCCTGCCACTGACACATGTGGAGGGGAGGGCACCAACCTCTGAGTCCCTGCCAGTGTGTTCACAGACACTGGCTCACAGCAGCCAATCATGAGCATCCCCATTTTACAGATGAGGAAACCAATATTCAGACAGGCGAGGCTTGACCACACTCACTGAGCCCGGGGAGTCTGAGCCAGGAACTCTGAACACACACCCTCTTTACACTAGCTGCTCCCCACTATTCAAGAGATGAAGCTGCTCCCCACTATTCAAGAGATGAGATTCTAATGCTGGTCATGGTTGTTGCTGGGGTATATGTCTGTGTATATATGTGTGTGTGTGTGTGTGTGTGTATTTATGTGTATGTATGTATATGTATATATGTATGTGTGTATGTATGTGTGTGTGTGTTTTTGCATGTTTATGTGTATGTGTTTATGTGTATATATGTATCTGTGTATGTATGTGTATATATGTATGTGTGTGTGTAATTTGCATTTGTGTATGTCTGTGTATGTGTATATATGTGTGTAGGTGTGTGTGTATATGTATGTGGGTGGGTGTATGTGTATGTGTGTATGTATGCATATGTGTGCATGTATATCTGTGTGTATGTGTATGTTCATGTGGCGATGTGTGTGTGTATGACTGTCAGTGTGTGTGTGTGGTGTGTGTGTGTATGAATGTGTATGTGTGTGTTATATGTGTGTATGTGTGTGTATGTATATGTGTTTTAGCTAACTTCTTTCTAGTTCACACTCATACACACACAACACACACATACACACTCATACAACACAGACACAGACACACATGCATACACACACACACACACACATACACCCCCACATAAACACACATACACACACATAACTTCTGATCAGTGCCAGATGATCTCTCAGACTCCTTGGACTTCTGGGGCGTTCTGGTCCCCCCTATTATTCTCCACCTTAGAAACACTCATAGTCTAAGCGTGTGGCCCAGGTGTGACCAGCAGGAGGTGGGTCAGGCATGCAGGTGTGCTTAGTGGCGAGGGACAAGTGAACCAGAAAACAGCAAAGCAGGAAAGCACCAAAAGACACAGGCCAGGGGCCCATTCTGCCAGGCCTGCAGAATGGCAAGGGGAGCTGCCAGAGGACTGGGCACCCTCCCCAAAAAGATGGGCCATCCAGACAGTGGAGGACAAGGGGAGGCAAGGTAGAGGACAGGCAAACAGTCACCTGAGAAGGACCTGGAATACCATACTGGGTTCTACCCCAGCCTCAGCAGCCTTCTACCATCTGTCCTCAGTGAAAGCTGTGCTGTGCTACTGTACCCACTCAAAGGTTACGTTCCTGCCTCTACAGGGGTGGACTGAGCACTTACTTTTATCATGATCAATTGGTATATTATAAATAAGAGATAAAAGTATACCATTCACTCAAAATAGTGACAAGGTTTTTCCTAACATATTATCTTCTTAACATTACAAAAGCCCATCTCCTTGCCTATGGAAATTCCTGCAGCACAGGTGGTCATCAACACATTAGTCTGCTTTGTCTGTACTAAAACCTCTTCAAAACATATATGTGAAGCCTTTGCCCCCAGTCTCATGAGAAGACCTGCTCATAGGGAGGAGTCCACACATATGAGCTCTGTGCAAGGGATTCACTTGTTTTCCCAGCCCCAGCAGTGGAGCATCAGTTTCCTTCTGTAATATCAGCTTTTAAAGAATACTGGTTTTCAGGAAATAAACGACCAATGCATAGAAGCAGATGTCTTTACACGGAGAATCGACAGGCTGTAATTTAGCTAAGCTGCCTGCAGCCTTCCTTCCAAGATTCCAGAAATTTAGGTTGAGAAACTACAGTCTACCAGAGGAAGAAGAGCCCTTCCCAGTGGAAAAGCGGTTTCCAATGTAGGCACAAGGCTCGTGTGACTTACCAATTGCAAAACCAACTCCAAAGTTCGGAGCTATGAGTCCATAAATGTTTTTCGCAAATGGAATCTGTAAGAGAAAATAAATGTTACGCTAAAATAACAAGAGTTCCAACTCTAAATCATCTCGGAAAGCCCTGAACTTGTTTTTTCTCTGGGCATGGTACGCCTGTTCCCTTCTGAAGAAAAGAGGAGGAAGAGGGGTGGGGTTTGTGAAGAACCGGACGCTCCAAATCTTTAAAAGTCAAAGCTTGAGACAAGTTTTATGGCCACCAGGAAAAACTTGTCACCAGTATATGTGAATGATCAGCCCACTCCACCCTCAAGTTTTGACAAGAACAAGTAGGCCTCATGAGGGACGGCTATTGGCTATTGGTGGAAGAGATTTTATTCTAGAAAAACATCTTTTTTTGCTATTGTTTCAGGTTGGTTGTCCTGAAGTGTTTAAGACACTGTCAAGCTGAAGATGATGCAGGGGAAAGTTAAACATAAAGCGTGAAATAAAACATTTTAAATAATTTCTGACATAAAATGAAAATACACTCCTTGGAAAGTCTTGTCCAAACATTTTTAAGATGATAAAAAATTAGAATAAAATGAAAGCTGTAATAAAATATCAACAAACTCAAACGTAAAATGTTTCTTGGTGATTCTTGCCCAAAGCCCAAGTTTTATTCAAGGATCGTTCCTACTTGTCGAATGCCATCTTTTACTCACACATAAAATGCTGACTCCCACAATTATCATTCCTAGAAGAGCACAAAGCCACCTATCAAAAGAAAAAGCACCATTAAGAAATGATCATTTGATTTTTTTCCAGTCCAAATTTTCAGTGGAAATCAAAACAATTACTTGTAACAGCGAAGGCAGAAACAACTTAGAATTTTTGGAAAGAACTACATTATTATAACAGAATGAGTGTTGTTTTCATATCATCTTACCTCCCCATTTTGTGTGCAAGTATCCCAAAAATATTGGTTCCAATGAGATAAGAGATACTAGCTGGCAAGAAAGCAACGCCTGTAAATTTATGAAAAGGAGAGCTTATCAGTGCTGGTATCAGTCATATGTTAGAAAAACTAATAACTGTAGACACCACAACGTTGATTAGAGCAGATGAAATGAAGCTCCAGGGCCCACACCCCAGCAGCTAATATCCGGCGCCTGCCGGATCCGGTCTCGATCCATGTGGCTTCTCCTCCACACAAAGCTGCTGAGACACTCCAGAAATGAAAGTCCTTTCTCTATCAACTCCTTCATCTCGCCTCCATCTCTGGCTGGTGGTGGGCTTCACACGTGGGCTGATACGAACAGCTCCTGCCTGGGAGCTCAGCACCTGCAACCTTATGTGTGATTTCATCCCACAGAAGTAAGACGCAGTTATTGAAAGAATTAGGGAACCATGAGATAATCAAAAAGAAAAAAGTTAAAATTACCCCAAACCCCATCCATTACTCAGCTAATCACCACAGTCATTTTCCCCTGTAAGTTTATTTACATATACAAACATATTTATGTGTGTTTTGATTTTTTTAAAAAAAGGGATTATACTCTATCCTGCTTGTTTCACTTAGCTTTACAAACATTTTTCTATGTCAGAAACATAAATGTCTACCTGGTCATTTTTTGTGGTTAAGTCAGACCTTTTTTTTTTTTTTTTTTTTTTTTTTTTTTGAGACAGAGTCTCGCTCTGTCGCCCAGGCTGGAGTGTAGTGGCACGATCTTGGCAACCTCTGCCTCCCAGGTTCAAGTGATTCTCCCGCCTCAGCCTCCCAAGTAGGTGGGATGAGAGGTATGCACCACCATGCCTGGTTAATTTTTGTATTTTTAGAAGAGACTGAGTTTCAACATGTTGGCCAGGCTGGTCTCAAACTCCTGACCTCAGGTGATCCGCCGGCCTCAGCCTCCCAAAGTGCTGGGATTACAGGCATGAGCCTCCACGCCTGGCCTCCTATCCAAGTTTTAATGCTCTCCCCATAGAGGGCACCTGCATCCCCCAGGTTCTGATGTGCCCAGGGTGATTTCCTGCTGGTGGTGGCAGCAGTGGCCTTGAACATCTCCTCCGCATTGAACAGAAAGTTCTAGCCATATCAGACCCAGCTTGGCTACCAGGAGAATTGTCCACATCAGCTCTGTCTGATCCTCATCCATTATTAGAACCACAGGACAATCTCTTTATGAGAGACTGCTTTTCAAACTCCTAGTGATTTTAGTATTTTTTCCTTGAAATCAGATATACTAGACTTGATTCCAAGCCTTGCTCACACATAGTAAAACTTACTTTGCTCTCAGTCAGAGGACTGCATAAGTGAGACATGCAGGTAGATATCAGATGACGGAGTGTCTGCTACACTCAAAATGCATGGGGCCTGGAGGTCCTTCTCATCCCAGCAGCTGGCCACACACTCATGGGCAAGTGTGATCTTGTCTCTTTAGGATAAAGCACGACTGTCTACCATCAAACCCAGAAACAGGCTGAGTCTTCCAACACAGCAGGGACTTCCAAATAAACGGCTCCATGAGCTAAATCCAAAACCAGATCATTCTAGACATGGGGGTTCTGGGAAACACTAATAAAGAGCAATCTCATTTCATTTTCCAGGGAATTATTTCTGTCATGTTTAGCAATATATGGTGGTCAAATAATTGTTCAGTGTAATCTGATTGAGCAAACATTTACTGACAGCCATGTGCCCAGCACAGCACTGGCCTGCAGCAAAGACAATGACAACGTGATTCTCGTCCTGATGCAAGTGTTTTGAAGGAAAGAAGCAGATGACGTTTAAACTGTGACCTGGCCAAGTGAGGCACATAACAAAAACCCAGGTGCCATACTCTGGGGACCTGGAACTGCGTCTGGCCAAGCTCCGCAGAGCAGATGGTATTTAAACCTGGCCTCAAAAGCTGTGTCGTAGTACCTCCTACCAGCTCTAGAGACTGTTAGTCCGGATAGTAAGATATCATGACAACCTTTGTCTCATGATAAGAATCCCTGAGGGCCAGGTAGGTATAAATGAATAAAACAAGCAAATTGCAAGCAAAAATAACAGTGCAGATACCATGATAAACAGCCACTGACATTCAGCCTCAGTGTCAGAGAAAGAAAATGAAAAATGGAGGGAAGAGAGGTCTGTGGCGACCCAGAAGGCCCAGACTCCATCTAGAAGGCAGACGCCACTCTCTGTGGCTATTCACTCCCCTGAGGGACTGCAGTTCCAGTACTGGAAGATCCTGTTTGTTTTTTAAAATGGAGTCTCAATGGAGGCTGAATGTCAGTGGCTCTGTTGCCTAGGCTGGAGTGCAATGGCACGATCTTGGTTCACCGCGACCTCCGCTTCTTGGGCTCAAGTGATCCACCTGCCTCAGCCTCCCAAAGTGCTAGGATTACAGGCATGATCCATGCACCCAGCCTGAGCAAGAATTCTTTCTAGGGCTTCTCCCGACTCAGTGAGAAAAGTGTTGGCTGGGACTGGCCTGCAACAGTGCCCTGGGCCATGGCAGGAACCCTCCCTTCTGCGGGGCAATGCTCTTCGCATATCTCTGCTCACACCAGAAAGTTCACCGAAGGGAGAGCTTCTATCACCCCTTGTGATTCTGGTACAACCTGGCTTCAGCCACGGCCTTGGCCAGCCAGTGAGGGAGAGGCTCTGGTCATCACGAAGCCTGCGGGGAGCTGAACTGGCCGTCCAGCCCCGGAAGCGAAGGTGAAAATGAGTCCTTGGGTTTCCTCCAAGCTCCAGATGACCCTTCCCTGAATGAAGGCCAAGGGCTCGGCCTAGAACCAGAATAGGGGCAATGGTCTTCCCTGTCCTATGGCAGGCTTAGGAGGATCCTGAGTCGTCGCATCCCACAGCCACCGAAGGCTGGCATTCCCTCTTGTCTTCTGGTACAGACCTGTTTCCTACCCTCCATCCCACTTCACATCCCCACAGCTCACTAAAGACAAAGGGGCTGGAAGAACCAGAAGACAAGAGTATGGCTCCATCCTTGTCTGAGGCCTGTGCCCAGGGCCTCAGCTTCCCTCTGGGGGCTTGTAGGCCTCACCCCGAACTCTAAGTCCCTAAGTCTCAAGGTGTCCAGAGAGGCCATCTGACCTAGAACTCAGGTATAGAGAAAACACCATGAAATTATTCTTTCTCCACCCACTCAAGCCCAGGGCTTCCCCTCAAGCGGCAGATGAGGAACTGGGGGGGGCAGGCTGGCAAGGGAGCCACATGGAAGATGGGTGGGCTGCCATCTTTACCGCCCCTAAAAATGTGGCCAAAAACAATACCTTCAGCAAGAGCAATCCTGCGTCACCCGTGCAGCTAATCAGATTGTTTGCCCTGACTTCAAATATCATAGTTTTTCTCCAGAAACAGTGAGGGGAAGCATAAAGGCAGAACAGCCTCCCTTTCACCCTGGACTGGAGTGGGCTCACAGAAGATTCCTGAACACCAGAGGCTGGGCTGCAGGGGCAGCTCCCCGCCCTCAGCACTGGGTCCTCTGCACTGCGTCGCTCACAGTACCCCATCCCCAGGCTCAGGGAGCCATGAGATGAAAGCTACAGAGACCTAGGGAAGGCGGGGTATTTCCCTCCTGCTGGTGCTGACACAGGAGGCAGGTAGAGAAACCCGATTCTTTTGAAGACAGACATGTCTATCTCTGGGGCCAGTGAAAGGAGGAACCTCGGTGGTGGAAATGTGCAGCAAGCTGGTTGAGTGGATGTCTGGCACTGGTGATAAGCCCCACACAGCAATCTGATGAGATCCAGGCAGCCTGCACTCTGCTATCTGGCCCTGATGGCCCACAGCTTCTGGCTGACTTTAAAGATTTTATAAAGAGAGCCTCAGGCTTTGTCTGAAGACGATGAGCACAAAACATCTTAAGTGTCCTGCACATGGCCAGGACACATTCAAAGAGGATGAGAATTCAGCTAGGTGACTGAGAGACCCAGTTCACACCTGTAATCCCCACACTTTGGGAGGCTGAGGCAGGAGGACAGCTTGAGCCCAGGAGGTCGAGGCTACAGTGAGCCATGATTACATCAGTGCACTCCAGCCTGGGCGACAGGACGAGACCCTATCTCTAAAAATAAATGAACAAATAAGAGCTTCTCAGCTCAAGAGTGCATGCAAAGTCAACACAGCAGCTCAACTCAGCAGCGCACACCCCACCTGGACAGCGGGCACCTCCTGAAAACACTGAGAGACCCATATCACGTCAAGGACCAGAGGGAAGAAAAGCTGGGAAACGGTCTCTCCAGCGTCAGCCGTGGGTATGAGCAACAAGGCCGGAGGGTGTCTTCTCATCTGCTATTTGCTGACTCGGTGTCAGATCCAAGTCCACCCCTCCTGCCGAGCGGCAGGCCTTCTTTAGGAGCTCTGAAGGTCTTTGGGCTTCCTCTTTTATCTTGGCTGCTAGGGAGTTCAGAGCTAAATTTTCTGCCTAAGAAACATTCTTGTTTAGTTCCAAGAATCCTTCCTCCTTCACTGAATACCTCTTCTGATGTCAGGCTTGGTTTGGGTTTTGTTTTACGACACAATTCACATGGTTTAAAAATTCACCATTTGGGCTGGATGCAGTGGCTCACCCCTATAATCCCAGCACTTTGGGAGGCCGAGGCGAGTGGATCATGAAGTCAGGAGTTCAAGACCAGCCTGGCCAAGATGGTGAAACCCCGTCTCTACTACAAACACAAAATTAGCTGGGTGCACTGGCAGGCACCTGTAATCCCAGCTACTCGGGAGGCTGAGGCAGGAGAATTGCTTGAACCCGGGCAGCAGAGGTTGCAGTGAGCTGAGATCGTGCCACTGCACTCCAGCCTAGGCAACAGACTGAGACTCCATCTCAAAAAAAAAAAAAAAAAAGGAAAATTCAACTTTTGACAGTGCACGGTTCAGTGATGTTTAGTGTATTCACAGAGTTGTGCAACCATCATCACCATCTGATTACAGAACATTGTCACCATCCCACAAAGAAACCTCACACCCCATTAGCAGTTTCTCTGCATCCTCACCCCCTCTCCCCCGGCCATTTGGAACTTTTTAGGTATTGTTCAATGAAACAGCATAGCAACTCAATGTAGAACCCAAAGACACTGGTACTCAGGCCAGGTCAACTGCAGGGAGGCAGGCAGAACAGGGAAAGTCTAAGCCAGGGGGCAGCTTCTGGCAAGACACCACCCTTCCCCAGGGCTGGATGCCTGTGAGAGTAAGGTCACCTGAAGAAGGGTTGGGGACACTGAAAATGTCTGCTTGATTCAGAACTGAGAGTCTCCATCTGAAGCTATCCACACGTACCTTGAAAGAACTATAAAAAGAACATAAATCTCTAGGAAGGACCGTCAATAAATTCTTAAAGAAAAAGGTGTGTGGGGGAGGACTAGCCCTCCAGATATGCAACCACATTCTAAAGCTACAGTAACTAAACAGGAATGGCAAATGAATCAATGGGATGAAAGAGGGAATCCAGAAAGAGAGCCAAGAACTTGTGGTCCTTAAGAAAATGATGAGAATGGGAAGAATCAGATCCACTACTTCAGAAATGGTCCTAGGACAACTGGCTGGCCATACAGGGAACAAAACTACTAGGTTCCTACACATGTCTTGGGACAAAATAAATTCCATATAGGTTCAAGATTTTAATGTGAAAAACAAATCAGAAATGTATTAAGGGAAAACATGGGCGATTAAAAAAATAAGCTTCGCATGGGAAAGGCCTTTCTGAGCTTGACTTGATATGACAATGACATTAAAAGGAAGCCTGCTAAACCTGACTAGTGGCATTTTAAATATTTGAGTGGCTAAAAAAAAAAAATCCATTCAAGAAAAATCCATAAAGTCAAAAGACATAGAACAATATGAGGGCAATATCTATAAAACATGTGGTAATAGATTATTATCTTAATACATAAAGAACACATAAAATCCGTAAGGACAAATAACTCCATAGAAAAATGGGCAGAGTATATTCATAAGAAATTCATGGTAAAAGAAATACACATGGCTAATACACATATGAAAACATGCTCGATTTCACTCATAAAGAATTTGTGGCTGGGCGTGGTGGCTCATACCTGTATGCCCAACAATTTGGGAGGCCAAGGCAGGTGGATCACCTGAGGTCAGGAGTTTGAGACTACCCTGGCCAACATGGCAAAACCCCGTATCTACTAAAAATACAAAAATTAGCCAGGTGTGGTGGCACGCACCTATAGTTCTAGCTACTGGGGAAGCTGAGGCCACGAGAATCACTTGAACCCAGGAGGCGGAGGTTGCAGTGAACCGAGATCGCACTACTGCACTCCAGCCTGGGCGAGAAAGTGAGACTCTGTCTCAAAAAAAAAAAAAAAAGAATTTGTAAAAATAAATTAAAGTGAGGGCTGGGTGCGGTGGCTCATGCCTATAATCCCAGCGCTTTGGGACAGGCATAAGCCACCGCACCCAGCCTGCCACATGGTTTCTAATGGCAAAAACTGGAACTGTTAGGGAAGCAGAAGTTACGCCATTTTAAGCTCAGCTCCATCTTACAACTAGCAAAGCACATTCCTTGCCAGTTATGACCCATAGTCATGAGATGTTTAGAGGTTAAGGAAACAGCCTAAAGATAATGTACAAGGACACTCTCCTACAACAGCAGAAAGTCCAGATGTGCTTTCTGAAGACGCCCTGCTCTAACAGAGTTGTTTCTAATAAACTTGTCTCTTTTACTGTGTTCTGTGACATGCCTTGAATTCCTTCCTGAGTGATTTCCAAAAACTTTATCTTGGGGTCTGGATTGAGACCCCTTTTCTGGCAACAGAATGAGCCCAAATGCCCAATAATAGGGACTGACTCAGGATTTCAATAGTTATATGTTGTTCTATTTTAACAATAAAACAATATGTAACCATTAAAAAGAATAAAGGGTTTCCAGTTAAACACGGCAGATTGAATCTATAGGTTTTTCTCCACTCCCACCCCAAAGTCCATTTAAATGCTAGCAACGAAATAAGAGAAAATTCTAGACACACAGCCCACCCTCCTCCCGCGGACAAACCTTCCTGAGGACAAACAGTGTGGGAGAGGAGAAGGGACAGTACGAGGAAGAAGCGAGCAGAGGCCACCACAGAGAATGCTGGAATCTTCCATCTGCACATGGTGAGGCCAGAAAAAGGCAAGAGCCTTTGTGCCTCACATCCAGAAAGGAACTGAAGCTTCAGGTACTGTGAAGGTGGGGCTGAGAGAAGGGGCTGTCAACACAAAAGCAGGAGGAGAGGTTGTGTTAAGAGCAGTGGGACCCCCAGCACTCCAGCCTTCACCCTGGCAGGAGACAGTTTCTCTAGAGAAATTAACCAGAATGGTTCAGGGACCCCAGGCAGCATGGCAACCAGGGGCAACAAAAGAGGCTGAAACAGGAAAGTGGTGTGAGGGTGTTATTGCAATAACAACGACCTCACCAAAAAACCCCAAACACTCAGGGTATACACAAACGGCTCTTTAAATTTAAGATATGATAGCACCAATTTTAAAAACTCAATAGGCAGTTTAAAAGATGAAGAGGAATAACTCAATGGAAGGGGGGAAAGACAAGAAATTACAAGAATAAAAGTAGGGAGTCTAACATTCAGCCAACTGGAGTAAAAGAGGAGAGAAAATAGGGGGATTCATGAAAGTAATAATACGAAGAGTCTCCCTGGAATTGTAACATGGGGTTCCCCAAGTGAAAGGGCTGATTAAGCAAGTATTCAGCCCAGAGGAGGAAAACAGACCCCACTGCGATTCATCAACGCGGACTTTTATAATGTAGAGAAGAAGTAAAGGTCCCTCGGGATCCTACAGAGGCTCAGGAATGAGGGCAACACTGGCCTCCCCCACAGCAACCCTGGACACTAGAAGACAACAGACAGTGGCCTGAAAACTCCCAAGGAAAATGATTTCCAACTAAGAATTATACATGCAGACAAAGTCAACCAAGTGTAGGATGAGGGTAAAATATCTGCAACTATGCAGGGTCTCAGAGACCTTCACCTGCCACGCACACTCTCAGGAAGCTGTGGGAGGCTGTGCTCTACAATAATGAGGAAGTCAGTCAAGGGCAAGGAATACGGGAAACAGAAGAGAGGCACAGAAGATGCTGGGGTGATGGGAAAGGAAAGTCTAGACCGAAGACCTAGGACAGACATCCACAAACGAGCCAATACACAGAAAGGTCAGGTTTGCCAACACTTGACTGCATTTGGAGAACTTTTCATCTTTGCCCGAAACTTTGGTGGATATATTCATAAACACTACATAAAACATTAAGAAAATGAAAGGACAAGGCAACAACTAACTCCAGGAAAATTAAATTTGCAAAAAGAAAGGAAATTAATCACAGTCCCCTAAATAGCTCAGTCAGCTGCGAACAATAATTACCCAGTCACACTAATGTCAGTGCTGAATGCCAGTCTAACAAGAAGCTGTAATGCAATTATTCGAATTATTCGGGGAGGACAGAAGGTGGGAAAATGTGTGAGCTGGTTGTCTGATATTTTCATATGGCGCTGCAACGGCATTAAATAATCCCCATCTACTGTATTAGGAAGCTGGTGGACAATGTCAGAAATTGGAAAAATTTTTAAAAGGGGGTGTAATTAGCCAGGTGTGGTGGCAGGTGCCTGTAATCCCAGCTACTCGGGAGGCTGAGGCAGGAGAATCACTTGAACCCGGGAGACGGAGGTTGCAGTGAGTGGAGATCGTGCCACTGCACTCCAGCCTGGGTGACAGAGTGAGACTCTGTCTCAAAAAAAAAAAAAAAAAGTCAGGGGTGTACACATATTATTAAGAGATATAATGGCATCAGCAGAAGAAAGATCTAAAAGAGTTGAAGGTGATGGAATCTGAAGGGCTTTGGGGATCAAGAGGTGTGGGAAAAAGACAGCTGTTTTTCCTTATAATTCTTTTATCTTTGACTTACAATTATGTACATGTGTAACTTTGATAAAAAAATAAAATTTAATTAATTTTAAAAAGCAAATCTACGTGTTCTGACATGGAAACACAGCCACAAAATTGCATGAAGGAAAAACAAGAGGTCACACAGTGATGTAAATGGCAAAATTTACTTGGTTGGATTTTTAGGCATTTCATGCAATAGGGTGGTAAACACAGAACCATCTAGAAAAAGACACAGAACTGTTAACAATGAATATCACAGGGGATGGGCTGGGGGAGGGGGAAAGATGAGTATGAAATTTAAAAATGTTTTACTTCCTCAATCAGCATACTTTGATTTTATTATAATAAGCATGTATTACTTTTCGAAATTAAAAACACTTTTTAGGAATTAATCCTTTTAACAATTGGTTTGTTGTTAGTCTTTTCACATAAATTTTATGGCTGTACAGTTAGTCCAGTTCCAAAACAGGGGAAGATGACAACTGTACTTTTCCTCTCATTTCTGCCCAGATCTGATGTGTCTGTGTGAGTTCTGCACCCCTCAGGGATGATGGATAAACCAGAGAACAAACAGACCCCAAGGCTGCCCTAAGCAATGACCCCATTAAGAGTCAAACAGAAGCAATCACTTTATCATCCCCATAAGGGCAACTCAGCAGGGATGCCCTGAGGACAAACACTTTTGAATCAGAAGAGCCCACCCCAGTCCTTACCCAGCTGCCACTTTCGGGAACACATGGTCTCCATCATCCAGATGGGCAGGGCCGGCTCCAGCATGGCGATGCCCATGTTTGCAAAGCAGATGGAGCCTGTAAGGGAGGGAAGGGCTTTGTAGTGGCTTCTGCCTCCTCTCTCATTTCCAGACACAGTTAGACTCCATGCACCTACAGCTCAGATAACTGCAACTTCTACTTCCATTAAGTAAAGGATAAATCGCGTATCAAGAGGACAGCAAAGGTTGTTAACCATAATCATCATCACCATCGTCGTCATCCTTATTTAAAACAGCTAGAATCCCAGAGACAAAGTTTGGACTGGAGGCAGCCCTAGAGATCCTTTGGTTTAACCTACCCAATTATGGTTTTATCAATGAAGAAAGGGAGCACAGTTTATTAATGAAGTAGCTTGCTTGGGGCCACCCAGCAGCCAGGCCACTTCCAGACCACACACAGTCTAGGGGCAACCTGAGGCTCTCACATCTGTGTTTTACTGTGCAATAAACATGGGCATTTCTAATGATACCCTGAAACGCCAGAAAATCCAAGCAAGATCAGGTGGATTCCGTCTAGGCATGCCGTCGGGGGATTTTTCGAAGCAGGATCAGGTGCATTCAGTATAGGCATGCCATCGGGGGATTTTTCAAAAGTCAGCTGTATACAACGGTATCTACGCAAATATTCGTGATCACTCTGTTAACCAGAACCCTTTGTAAATATAGAACTATCTGGAAAAAGACCCACAGAACTGTTCTCCATCATTCTGGGAACTTCCTGTGTTGTGCCTCTTGGAACCTCTAATTTGCTACAACAAATTCAAAGAATATTGTGCAATCGTGATGAAGGTGCACATATAATGAAGAAAGATCTGTTCATTCGATGTGACATTTAAAGGCAGAGCATATCAATGGCAGGACTCCCCTCCCACACACTGGGGGAGGGAGTTTGGCTCTCAACTCCCTCCCCCAGTCGAGGCTGCCTGGAAGTATCGATGACAGTCCAGGAGTGCTGCGTAGCACCTTTGTGTCTCCTGTGAGCAAGGACTAGACAGTGAGGTTCCAGGGAAGCCCAAGACAGGACAGGCCCAGGCTGCAAAGCCCTGCCCAGATGTGTCCAAGGTTCAGGGAGTCACATTTCTGGAGCCCCCATCCCTTACCATACCTCCTCGTCCCTACCTTGGATGCCAGGGTTCCAGAAGCATCTGAGCTCTGGGATGCCCCTGCATCTTGCAGACTTCACTGCATGAAGAAGTCACCATGCCAGCTCCATATCCCTTTGGCCAACAAGCATGATAGACAGGGTCTTGGCCAGGGTTACATACCTGCTGCCCTAATCAAATCCAGCAGCAGAAGGGTTAAACACAACCAGCCTGAGGGTTGACAAAGGCTGAACTTAACTACTGGTGCCCAGTTCTCCCAGGCACCCTCCAGCCTACCTGTGTTAGGGAGCCCTGCTTAGACACATCTAACCCTAACTGGGTCCAGTGCTATAGTGCAGGCTGCCCCAGAAACCAACACGTCAGCATGCGGCCAGACCTTCTCCTGGCCTGACCCCAAGGGTCTGCTTACCTCGGTACTCAGGCCCAGCAGCACCTTCACAAGGCTGGTCCCTGGTTAGGCAGCCCAGGGCCTGCCAAAGCAGGCAGCCTCCTGCCACTGGGACAGTCTTGGGGAACAGTCCCTTGGGTAGATGCAGACCATTATCCTTCCCAAGAGTCACAAAACCCCAGTGCTTTCTTTTAGCCCCTCTAGGCTGAAGCATGTCCTTTAGCCAAAGGGTGTTTGAGCGGCCTCCCTGCTGCTCGGCAGGGATGCTCTCTGCAAGAAGGGAGCCCCTCTGGTCCCTGAGGGGCTCTGCTGTCAGTTTCTATTCATACACACCAAAGTGAGTCAGACTGCCCACCTGGGACCCTTGCCATGAGGCCAAGGACTCCTTCCAGAAAGTTCAAGGTCAAACAATGATGGCCTTCCATGCAAACACAGTAGGCAAGCTTAGCTCCAAACAAACCCAGCCAGGCGTCCCCGGGGACCCAGGCAGCTCTGCAGAGCCCAGCATACACCATTTCGATGTTCCCCAAATAAGACAAAAAGGGCCTTGGCTGAGTGTCAGAAAGCAATGGTGGAAGAAAACCATTTCCTTTGACTTGTAGCCTCTTTGCCTTTTCTGTTTTTCTATGGCCCAACATTTCTAGCAGCAAAACGAAAATCAGCCCCGGCCATCCACCCCTGCCTCCAGCACGCGGCCATCACCTCGCATTGCCCTGACGGAGAAAACCCACAGAGCCCCACCTGCAGCAATGAGGATGTACGGGTCCTTCAGCAGCGTGGTTAGGGGTGTCCCCTTCTGACTCTGTCAAGAAAAAAGCACACGTCAGAAGCATGACCGTGCCTCCTCCCCGAGGGCCCTCATTCCCGGCCGCTCACCTCTGGCTGCACCCGGGACGGCTGGAGCACAAAGAGCTGAATAGCTAAAAAATAAAAATAAAAAAGACAAGCCCCTCTTCAGAAAGCAGGTGTGGCCCAAGCGCGTGCCGGCACGGATGCCAAGGTCACGGCAAGGTGCCCACATGGACTCACTCACCTCCATCCAAGAGCACCAAGGCAGCCAGCACCAGGAACGGAGCCGTCTTCCCCACAAACTCATACAGCACACTCCCGAAGGGGGGGCCCACTGCAGGGAGAGAAAGTGGGGACACCGCCCCTGGGACACACGCCCTCTGCCCGTACTAGAACCATCTATTTGACTCTTGTGTTTCTCCCTCTACTTTGTTCCAATAAGGTTTTGGGGTGTCTGCCCTATTGTTCTGTTCAGTTAGAGTTCAGTTGTCTTGGTAACTTCCTCCAAGTGACTTTTCCTAAGAAATGGGCAAGAGTCTATAAAGGTCACCCTGAAAGCAAAGGCCCGAGAGAAACAAGATCCAGGCCCAGGGCTGGGCTGCTTCCACTGCACTCTTTCTGCACAAGAAAATGTGTAAACAGGGACTTCGCTCCTTGTACAGCACAGGCAATCGGGAGAGGAAGGGAAAGGCTCTGAATCCCTCTCAGGGAAGATGTTTGCCCCCTGGTCTGGGAAGTCAGCCAGGGCAGGTGGGGGAGGCAGACCCAGAAGGCAAGGTTCTCCCTGATTACAACTCACTGAATGTTCCCGAGGAAAGGGTCTGGCAGACCATCCTGTTCAACCTTTGGTTTTCCATCTGCGCCCAGGGAGGTTTGGGACAGAGGTAGCAGTAATCCTGATCCCCTCCACCCCCAGCTCAGGGCTCTTCCTACCATTTTTCAAAGTCTTCATGAAAGCAGGAAAGGAAGAAATAAAAAGGGAATTTCTGTGTCAGCGCAAATTTCGACAGGGTCATGGGATGAGGACTGCCGCTGTCCAGCACCAGGCAAGCCCCTCTTGCCAGTTCGCCTACACAGGGGCCTTACCCACCTAAGACCCCCATGGCCAGGCCTCCCAAGGCGATTCCCATGACGTTGCCTCTTTCTTCATCATCTGTGTAGACGCTGGCAAGCATGCCCATCCCTACACACGGAAAGAAATGGTCAACAGGCCAGCTCTGGGGAACAGCAAAAGAATAATGCGTGACTTGCCTTCCCTCTCCAGCCAGCCTTGTGATCTTCCCAAACCTGTCAGATTCACTAAAATGTAAGACCAAGCAGAACCCAAGAGGAAAGTGGGTACCTTCTCCAAGAATCCCCAGCACTCCAACCACCACCAATACCCGAATTCCCTGAATGAGTCCAGCTCACTCTGCAAGGGGCCCCTCACGAACTCACTCAGGCGTTCCACACCTACCAGCCACAGAGGAGCAGGACGAGCCGATGCCCTGCAGCGACCTGGCAATCAGCAGGAAGGCATAGCTGCTGGAGAAGGCAAACACTGCCGAGAGAAGGGGTCCAAGACCGCACATCAGTGCTACTGGGACGCAACCGTCCCAAACAGGGACATTTCAGGAGCCCCCCTTAACCCGGTGGAGCATTTGCATGTTAGCCACCTTGTGCTTTTGTTCCATAAAAAGCTCTCTATCAATTCCTTTCCGCAATTGTCGCCAGTACACAAACCTCCCAGGCCATATTCTTTTTTTTGAGACGGAGTCTTGCTCTGTCGCCCAGGCTGCAGTGCAGTGGTGCAATCTCGGCTCACTACAACCTCCGTCTTCTGGGTTCAAGTGATTCTCCTGCCTCAGCCTCCCCAGTAGCTGGGACTATAGGTGCATGCCACCACACCCAGCTACTTTTTGTATTTTTAGTACAGACGGGGTTTTGCCATGTTGGCCAGGCTTGTCTCTAAGTCCTGACCTCAGGTGATCCGCCCGCCTCCGCCTCCCAAAGTGCTGGGATTACAGGCATGAGCCAACCGCACCCCGTCCCCAGGTTGTATTCTTAATTCCCAGCTCATGGGCATCCACGCCCACCCTGATGAGACCCACACTCAGAAGGAAAACACCAGACACTTACTAATTGTTGAGACAAACATAATGCAGAATCCCGCAAATATGGGAATTGGATAGCCAATTCTGCAAAACACAAACATCACACAAATCTGGTGACTGCAGGCTATTTTTTTAAGGCTTTATATTGATTTTCTCCTGGCTACCCTTTGGGATTAGACAGATAAGTGTTTGGTGGACTTTTCTGAAAATTCATATACTCGGTGCTTCCTATGTGACCTTTTTGTATTTGTCTTAGAACGTGAATACATTTATGGACTGCCACTGTGAACAGAAATTTCTCCGGAATAAATGTTAACACAATATTGGCAAGTAACCCAGAACACATCCAAAATACATGGCCCCTATTTCTGTCATTTTTAAAAAATGATTCCTTTAATTATAGTCTTTGCTAGAGCTCTCCCAAAGGAGCCACTGCAATCAAATGATTCGGGTAAAAGGCCATCAAGTGATTCAACTGGCAGACTGCAGTATGTCTAAGAGGCATTAGGAAGCAAGATGTTAAGATCTTCCTTCCTGTTGACCCCATGAGGCCAACCTACAAAGACAAAGTCTCATTTTCTGTGCAAAATTTCAAACTCCAAATTGCTCCACAAAACCACTGCTCACCTAGGGCTCTGGCGCCAGCTCAACAGGGCCGGTGGAAAGACCCTGGCATTTCCCTATGCCATGTCTGGCTGGACACGTGACCCTGCCACTTAATCTAGGGAGGTCTCCTCTCAGCCCCTCGGAGAGACCACCGCCCACCTCCCAGTACTAGAGTACGGAAAGAGATATGGATGTTAAACTGTTAACACCAGTGCCTACAGCATAGAAGGTGCCTAAGAAATGTCATCTCCTCCCTCATTCTCTTCCTTCTTTGTCCTCTGTTTCTGCTGAATCAAGCAGACAGCTGGGTCCCTGCTCTGTGGGTGGGGCATGAGGGTACCGGCAGCTTCCCAGCCCCTCTGCCTTGAGAGGAAGCCAACGGTGGCTGAGCTCTTGTCCAATTGCAGGTTTGCTCCAACCCAGAAGAGCCTGACATCTCTAAGTCTCTTCTGTCTCTAGCTCTGGACCCTCAGGAACCTGGAGAGGAATCAAATGAATCCAGGAAGGCAGAAGGGCCAAGCATCCTGAGCTCCGGGCACAGCCTGGAAGGGTTCTTCCATTCTAGGCTTTAACAAAAAAAAAATTGTAATCGGCTGAGCATGATGGCTCATGCCTGTAATCCTAGCACTTTGGGAGGCCAAGGTGGGTGGATCGCCTGAGCTCAGGAGGTCGAGACCAGCCTGGGCAACATGGCAAAACCCTGTCTCTACTAAAAAAATAATAATACAAAAAAATGAGTAGACACGGTGGTGCACACCTGCAATCCCAACTACTTGGGAGGCTAAGGCATGAGAATTGCTTGAACCTAGGAAGGGGAGGTCATAGTGAGCTGAGATCGCACCACTGCACTCCAGCCTGGGTGACAGAGTGAGATTCTGTCTCAAAAAAAAAAAAAAAAAAATCATAATCATATCGCCTTCATTTAAAGTTTAAACTCAGTTATCCCAGCACTTACACCCGCCAGATTTAGTCATAATTTAATAAGGGCCCTATTTCACCTCCCTATGTTACAGATGAGGAAACTGAGGCATGACATTATGACATCTGTCATTACTTATCAGACGTCATCAGACTAATTTCACTTGGGCCATTCCCACATGGCTTTTCCTTGTAAACTATACCACTTCCTCTGGTACCCAAACGGCATTAAATAGAATCTTTCCAAAAGTTTTCTTGACCATACTCAAATATTTTTTAACTGCTTCCCCTGTATCCAGAAACCAAATACCAAAAATGCAGAGAGTAACTCACAAGCATGACAGATTCCCAGAGAGTCAGGCCCCTCCCACAAACCATGCAAAGATTCCCCTGCTGTGAACAGAGGTGAGCTTGTAATTCACAAAGTGGGGCTCCAAGCAAATTGGGTAAACCAGAGAACATGCCAGGATTCTGACCTGCAGTTCAGATGGCCATTGGGTGGCAGCTTCTCCTGTCTCAGCCCACCCAGAGCTGATTCTCTGTGCCCCTTATTTATATGGACAAAAGAAACCCAGCGCCAGGGGCTCACATGGCACTGTGGGATACTGAATCAGGAAATGTCCAGGAGGCGCAGAGAGGAGAACTCACAGGCAGTTTATTTTCAGTAACTACAGTTTGTCCCACGAAAGAACAGGCATATGACAATCTTCTTGACTGTCCTGGAATAAACACAGGCTTCTCCCACCGTTCAACATATATTTGGAAAATCTAGTCATTGAAGTACCAATACGTGTCAAAGTTGTTGGAATTAGGGGCCTCACTCTTCTTTCACCAGTTCTTCATTTTGGCTATTTTTAAGGCTCTAATATGGAACCTTTCAGACTGCAGGGACATCCCTGAAGCCAAATAAGGCATCTGTGGCCCTTTCCCAGACTGTAGGCAGAAGCAATGGGTGGTTTCAGGACAAAACTCAATAAAATGTGACAACCCCTGGCTGTGACCCCCAAACCACCAGCCGTACTGTGCCCACTGTTCAATCCAGCCAGGTCACCCATCAGGGCACAGCTGGGGTGGGCTGGAAGCTACTGAGGTCCCTCCCTACCTGAAGACTCAGACATTCCCACGACTGTAAGCAGGGAACCAACCAACATGCTGGGTGGCCTGAGATTCCAAGGGAGGGTAGCTGGTTTTATCCATTTTTCAGATGATCAACACTGAGGCTTGGGGAGGTGAATTACTTACCCCAAATCCAAGGCTACGGGCATACCTTGAGTGTGGTAACATGTGCTGGGCCCTGCTGATGTGCACCTGGGTGGGGACACCAGAGCACATGGGATGGAGGGTGCACAGTTTCACTGAAAACCACAGGGTTTGTGCCCACAGAGGGTTCTTTTTTACCATCTGAGGTGCTGTGTTTCCTTTAGAAACACTGCAGTTACTGTTTTTCTTTCTAATTTTCTTTGGGATTTTAACAATGCATGTATGGAATAAACGAACATCAAAGCTAGAAGGAAACTCAGGGGCTAGCCAGTCCAAACCCTCACCTTAGATGAGAAAGCTGAGGTTCAGAGACAGAGTGGCTCGCCCTTGGCTGCAGAGCAAGCCGATGGCTTCAGATACAACCAGGCTCATGTTGCCGCCTTCTCGGTACCGGACACACCTGTGCCTGCACTTTCAACACAGGCCAAGCCACTGCAGGGGCTGCTCAGTGGTAAGCGCTGGGCATCATGTTTCCCCAGAGCTCGGCTTCAAGGCAAAGAAGACACCCTGGGAAGCTCCTGGGTCTCCGCCCTCAAACTCTTCTGGCCCCTCGAGCACCCACCATAGAGGAGGGTCGTCCAGTGCCCCTAGTCATTGAGTGGTGGGCAGAAGGACCAAACCCTTTCTGCTTCCCCACAGTATCTCCTAAACAGACAGAAACTCAACTGACAATAGTCACAATCTGTGTCTGAGTTGCCCCCCTTGTCTCAATTCAGGGCCATCTCAATTAAAGTATTGCTAAGCAGAGCTAGATCTGATTCGGCAAACCTTTAGCCAAATGTCATCCTGGCCCATGGTCATCCTCTACAGAGAATCACGAAGCAGTTAATCCAATTTGAGTAAGACTAAAAATCATATATTGAATCCCTAGAACAACATGTAAAACAATAAAAGTTATGTTAATTATATATACTTAGTCAGTGCAGAAACCCCATCTGTCCCGAAATGGTCAGTGAGGACAATACTTCTCTAGTGTTAATAATTAGCTTATCCTTGCCATGGAGACTAATGCAAGCTCTCTTCTCACGATTGTTAAAACCATAGTTTCCTCTACCATGGTAAATTACAAAAGGATACAGACTACGGAGCCCCGAAGGGTGCAAACTATCACCAGATGCAACAAGAGACAACAGCTCCCTTCCGGTGATCCCTACACACTCCTAAAAGGTGTGCAGTAAATGAATGTCAGTAAATGGACTGATATTTTCAATTTGCCTGGATATAGTAGGAGGTGTGTCAATCATTTAGTAGATAAAACAAAATTCTTCGATTTCGCTTGTCAAAATTCTTAGGTCCTGCTTGTCTTTTTCAGCTACTGGAGAGTTCCAGGGGGCATGTACTTCTCTCTTTCCTGGGCGTGAGCCCTGTTCTCTGACACACAGCTTAACGGAGGCTTTGCTTCTCCTAGGAATGTTCTAATTCCACAGCCAGTTTCCTCTGATTTCAGAAGCAAAGACTCATCAAACCCTGCCTACCATCCTAACCACATCCAGGATGGGAGATCCCTTCTCGGAACAACTGGTTTCCCTGTCCATAGAGAAGCTGAAAAGGTCACTGCTTATTCCTACAAAGCCCACTTCAGACCCACTGGCTGAAGCTAGCAAAAAAAATAAAATAAAACCATAGATTTCGTAGAGATTTCATGCCCTGTGGCTTCCTCCTTGTCGTTCAGATGTTAGCTAAGATTTGCAAGGAAAAAGAACTGCTTTCAAATATACTAAGTAACTATGGAAATAAATTAAGCCACTGACGCTGGCTTGATAAAAAGCAGACCACCGAGACAATGACAAGCTAAGGAGGAAGCCAAGGGAAACGGTCCCCAGCAATGAAGTTAACTCTTTCCCAAGCCAGTCGTTCGGTGTGGAATATCTGAAGATGCAACTCTTATTTAAACCTTATGCTAAGCAAGACCACAACGTCACATCATTACCTGACTGAGGGAAGAGAGAAATGTAAACGTGTTGTTCCATTGTTCATTTGCCTGGAACATTCCTCTTATGTACATATATATCTAAAATTTGCTTCTTAGACCAAATGATGACCAAGCATCACTAGTATAATTTCTGCTACCACCTGCACACAACTGCACTCATGAAATGAATAGTTCAGCCAGAATTATAAAATGAGAGGCAAGAGGCTCCAACATGGAAATCAGGTCAACCCAGCATCCTCAGGCTTTGTTGGAAAGTGTGCTATTGGCCAGGTGATCACTACACACACCCAGATCAAAGGTTTTTTGCCACCTATCTGATCATCTATTTTCAGTAGAAATATAGTATCTGAATAACAAATGAAACAGGAAGAATGTGCATCCTATTAGCAGCTAAATGAACCCAAAAATTGTTACTCTGTATTTTCAAGGTTTGGTGTGAGAACTTATCAAATATTTAAAAACAACAGATGTGGCCAGGCGTGGTGGCTGACGCCTGTAATCTCAGCACTTTGGGAGGCTGAGGCGGGAGGATCACTTGAGGTCAGGAGTTCGAGACAAGCCTGGCCAAATGGTGAAACCCCATCTCTATATTAAAATACAAAAAAAATTAGCCAGGCGTGGTGGCATGCACCTGTAGTCTCAGCTACTCGGGAGGCTGAAGCAGGAGAATTGCTTGAACCTGGGAGGCAGAGGTTGCAGTGAGCCGAGATAGCCCCACTGCACTCCAGCCTGGGCAACAGAGCGAGAGTCTGTCTCAATAAATAAATAAATAAACAAACAGGCAGCCTACCTTTTGTGTCTCCTACCCACAAAAGCCACTCGCATGGCACCATCATGACTGTGAATAGGGGAGTCCAAGTATGGTGTGGTGTGCTGTAGAACGTCTCGATTCAGAGTGGGTCCCACTTCTGAAACAAGCAGCTTTGGAAAAGAATAGCTCTGCCCAGCCTGGCTACAGGTAGCTTTCCCACACATCTTTAGGGATGCACGAGGCTGGACCAGTTCACACCAGGGACTGGAAAAAGACTGAAAATTTCTGGGACCAGGGAGGGTCCATGTCCACAGGAATCAGACTGATCTTTTCTAAACTCTCTGCTCATTGATTAAAAATAGGAATCAGCAACTCACTGGGTCTTCAGCAGTTCTGCCTGGTACAACCAGGAAGAGCCCAAGTCAGTGCAAGAAAGACGGATTTTGAACTGCATTCTTTATTTCTAGTAGCTAAAAGTACAAGCTGTATAATTGTAAGCAGGTGGAAAGAACAGGAAGTGGGGAAGAACAAAGCTTGAAACCGGACAGTCAGGACATGTGGCTGCAGTCCCGCCACTGTCGTGGTAAATGCTTTCTCCTCCTCAACTGCAAACTCCTTTGCCTATAAAATGCTAGGACTGGCCCAAAAGCTTTCAGGAAAAGTCTCTGCAAGCGCTGATGCTCCATATTTTAAACTACTCTTTAATCAGAAACATATTAACCAATTTTAAAAAGCTTTTAAACACATTTGTTTACAACACTGAAGACTTGAGTCATACATCTTGCTCATGGAGGATGTGATTGGCACAGTTTACACCAAAAGACTGTTTGCAATGGCTCACAGGTTAACTCCTTGAAGACGATTAAAGGCAAATGGAATGCATTTGTCCCTTCTCTGCTTCCATCTGAACTGTGGTGGGAAGTAGAATCTTGGAGTGTCCAGAAGAGCTGCCCAGTCCCCAAATTCATAGCTATCGGGCTTGGAAATTATGAGACAAATCACAAATCAGGATCACAATATGAAAATGTGTTTGCTCGCTGGGCACAGTGGCTCATGTCTGTAATCCCAGCACTTTGGGAGGCCGAGGTGGGCAGATCACCTGAGGTCAGGAGTCCGACACCAGCCTGGCCAACACGGTGAAACCTCATCTCTACCAAAAAATACAAAAAATAGCCAGGCATGGTGGTGCACGCCTGTAATCCCAGCTACTCAAGAGGCTGAGACACGTGAATTGCTTGAACCCAGGAGGTGGCAGTGAGCCAAGATCACACCACTGCACTCCAGCCTGGGTGACAGAGCAAGACTCTATCTCAAAAGAAAAGAAAAAAAAAAAATTGCCCTTCCATATTACCAGGCAGTACTAGAAAATCATTTTCAAATTTGCTGGGTAGCTGGGCAAAACAGTTGAGGATTACAATTTTGCTCCAGATAACTTTCAAAGTGGATTACTCACCATGAGAATAGACTAAATTTCACAAGTCACAAAATGGAAGGCAATGTTTTTGAAGTCCCGAACATGAGCCTGGTGTGGCTACAGCCTCAAAGCCTTTGGAGTATTTAACAGGGGAAAGGGCTCACTGGTTTTAGACAAGCTTCTTCCCCATGACAGAAGCAATGAATTAAAAGTAAGAATGGGATTTTTCAAAAAGCTTTTCATTTGCCATTTGCGTTTGGAAGATTGGAGTACTCACATCATTTCAGCCGAATTTCTAAGTATTACACTGTACAGCTAGCAACGTTCCACCCAAGTGATTGGCAAGGCATTATTACGATAATGTCCTCAATTTTCACATACAGTATTTGAGCTGTTTGCTTTCTCAGAATACAAAACCCTGAGCTATTTTCTGTAATTATACCAGATGCATTTTAAGAAGCGTTCTTAGTCTTGAAAAAAGGAAAGAAAACAATCCTGCAACTACTGAGGTCTGTTTGGTTTTTCTCCTGAGAACAGAGGAGCCACTGAATGTCACCTTCTTAATGGGCTCACAGTCAGTCCTTTGCTGGGTTAATTTGCTTAGCATATTTTATGTAGCAACCTTAGAATATTGCACTGCACAGACTGGAGGGCTGGACGTGGCTTGAGATTGTTGAAATCAATTCAATGGCACCCTTCGTTCCAGAAAATCAAACTGCAGATGTTGAGAAAGTGCTCCTGTCCGACTCAAGCTCCATGTGTCCAAGGGCAACTTGTGCTGGTGGAAGGCCAGATCTGTCGTCCCCTCCCTGAGCCCCAGCCACCACCCTAGGCTTCCTCAGCTCCCAGTGCCCCTAACCCTAGAGTCGCACAGGGATCTGCTCTCAGAGCTTGGTCGCTTTAACGCTCTGTTGCCACCTTGAAGTGTTTCATAATATTTGAATGTGGGGCACACATTTTCATTTTGCACTAAACCCCACAAATTATGTAGCCAGTCCGCGCCCCACTCCCCATGCCAAAGGCAGAGGAAATGCGAAGTTCTCCCTGCTCCCTGCCCACTTACCCTGCTTAACATTGTGCTTGATTCACTCATTCTCTTTGGCTTTGGTATCTGTAATGGCTCCCAACTGCCCCACGTAGAATCCCACTCCTTTCTCAGCCCAGCACTTGGGGCCTCTTACAGCCTAGCCCAGCCCTGGTTTCCCCTGTCTCCTTAGTTCCGCCCTCTCCTCACCACCATCTCCTCCATTTCTAGTCTAGTCTTTGTTCCTGCTTCTGGGCCTGGTCTGCAGGTAGGATTCTGGGCACGCCCCTCCCCACCATTTCTGACGTTTAACAATAGGTATGCCTCACACGTATCATTTCCACCTAGGTAGCTACACTGTGCACTTGGCAGCCCACCACCAACACTCAACTGTACCAGCTCCCGCTCCTTGCACTGACACCTTGGGGGCCTGCCTCCTCCTCTCAGCTGCAAGGCCCTTGTCCTGAGCTTTGAGCGCCCACAGACCAGGCAGAACTGGTCCACCTCAGCTGTAGAAGAACAAACACTTCACCAACAGTGGAGAAGTAAACAGTTATTCCAAACAATGTGGGTTCAAAAAAATCTAGAACAGCCTGATTCATCTGAAGCTAGTTTAGGCAGCTTGGATTATCCAGACAATAGCCTCATTTCTCTTCCTCTCATGCACGTGGACATGGCTATGTAACCACCAGAAGGGAAGAACACAGCCCGTGACCTTGGCCTCAGCTTGGAGCCCAAACTATGCAGCAGTGCGTCCGACCTTTTCCCACACTCCCTACCCAGTATCTATGAGAGCCTTTAACATGCCAGCTCCAAAAGAAGACACCTTGACTCTCTACAAAGAAGTTCATGGCCTGAGGTAGAAGGCAAGAGGAGGCCACATGGCTCCTAAAACAGGATGACAGCCATGGCGGCTGCAGAGTTCCTCGCTGCCAAGGGCGATTCTGACAAACGCACCTTATGAAACCTGGCATTTAGACTGGCCAGAGTCCTCCCACTTGGTAAAAAAGGCTCTCTTTATTCTGTCTTCTTTAATATTTTCTTACTTGTTGAGCAACAGAAGGGAGAATAGAATAGGAAATTGTGGTTACCTGGGAACAGAGACATAGGAGAAGGAGACTGGGTTTTCCCCAGCTCACCCACCATGGATTTTCCGACTCTCACCAATGAATAAGAGGTAGAATTCCAGGAAGGACATAAGCTAGGACTGATACAAATATCAAACTCTTTGACTCAAGTCGTCTGCCCTACCTGTTGGTCAGCAGTCCTATGAAAGGGTTGGTGATGAGCTGGACAGTGGCTTTCGAGGCAAACAACAGACCAACTTGCACGTTTTCATTCAGGAGGTCTTTGTCTTCACTGGGACAGTCAGAAGGGACAGCAGATGCGTTGGTCACCATGTGCTGTGTGGTGGTCTGATGAAGCGGCCCTTCCTGCAGGTCTCTGGTAGCATTCCCAGTGACCATGGTCGAGTTGTCATAATAGGAGAAGATGCTCCGGAAGCTGTCTGAGCTGGAGGCCGTGTGCACTGGCCTGGCCGTCTGGATTTCTGTAGCATTCTTCTCATGCTTAATGCTGTACAGATAACTTGGGATGATGGGGACTGGGGATGAGAGCAGAATGGCAAGGTGGTGATCACACTGAAACCCTCTCCAGGAAAAAAAGTCAGCAAAAAACTACGGTTGCATCGGCCAGGAGCAGTGGCTCACACCTGTAATTCCAGGACTTTGGGAGGCTGAGGCGGGTGGATCACCTGAGGTCAGGAGATCGAGACCAGCCTGGCCAACATGGAGAACCCCTCTCTCTACTAAAAATACAAAAATTAGCTGGGCATGGTGGCACCCGCCTGTAATCCCAGCTCCTTGGGAGGCTGAGGCAGGAGGATCGCTTGAACCTGGGAGGTGGACATTGCAGTGAGCCAAGATCGCACCACTGCACTCCAGCCTGGGCGACAGAGTGAGACTCTGTCTCAAACAAACAAACAAAACAACAACAACAACAACAACAACAAAACTATGGTTGTGTCAAATGCCAGAAGAGATCCAGAGAGGTTGCAGGTCTACCCCAAAAACAGGAGCCCTGTGCCAGATGTCTACAATGACATTGCAGCAAGTTCACTTTCCTTAGCTCACTAGAAAGAACCAAGCCCCCAGCGGCCCTGACTGTCTCCTCTCAAAGGCAGCTGCTGTGCTGAACTGACTGCTCCCACAGATTCTGTCATTTGTGGGTTTCTTCCACATTGTTCCTTCAAGGAATATTTCAGAAAAGCAAAATGTGGTCTGATGTCAACACAGTATTGACCTGGGGTCAACCGGTGCTTCTAAGAAAGAGAGGCCCAAAAGACTTTCAAATGAATGAATCAAGGAAACAGAAAACTACATTTCATTATGTGTCTTAGAAAAAAATTAACCTGCAGGAAGTAATAACTTGGAAATTCTGCAACAAGCCCACTTCATCCTTCCATTATGTGAGTGGGAATCTGCAATTTTTCCTACAACTTGTAAGATTTAAGAATTCCTAAGACTTTCACAAGGAAAAAGCAAAACTGTGACACAGGCCAGGCTTGGTGGCTCACGCCTGTAATCCCAGCACTTTGGGAGGTCGAGGCGGGTAGATCACCTGAGGTCACAAGTTCAAGACCAGCCTGGCCAACATGGCAAAACCCTGTCTCTAACAAAAATACAAAACTTAGACAGCTTTGGTGGCGCAGGCCTGTAACCCAGCTACTCAGGAGGCTAAGGCAGGAGAATCACTTGAACCCGGGAGGTGAAGGTTGCAGTGAGCCAAGATTGTGCCACTGCCCTCCAGCCTGGGCAACAGAGTGAGGCTCCGTTTCAAAAAACAAAAAAAAACAAAACAAAAAACAACAACAAAAAAAATACCAATTAAATTGTGAAACATATAATCGAAGCTGTGAGCACATGTGTCCAATGGAGCATTCCAGCCTAAGCAGAACTAATACCCTTGGTACTGAACAGGGATGAGCTCCACGGCTCTGATAACTCCTTAAGATGAAACCTATCAGATGCTCTCAAAACCGCTGTGAGAAAACCTGCAAATGGAGAGAAAGGAAACAGCTCCCACCACTTACAGTCTAAATGAGTCGTGATTTTTTTTCATTCATTAAAAACTGGGATTTTTTTTTTAAGGAAATGCATACCAAATCCTTCTCTGTTAATGGGCTTAATTAAGAGATCTGAATTTCAATTACTTAATTTTTCAAAATTCCATTATAGGAAAAAGAATAAAACCAACATTGTTCAAATCGCTCTTGCAATGGTTCCTGAAATATTTCCATCTCAAGTCATTCACTAATACAATATACCTGAATGTCTTTTTTTTTGGAGTAAGGGATCGAAACTTGCTCTTTTAGGTACTACACCAAATTATTAACCTGCATTTTCGAGTAGCCCAATAATTATTCTAACACGTAATTTTGAACTTTAGGAATTTCTCTTCTGGAACAGAAATCTTTTTCATCGCAGTGAAAGCAGGCAAGAGGATGCGGGAAATTATCAGGGGGAAACATAAGTTCTGGGTCTTATCGGATGTCACAGTTTTTGACCCGAGCATCAGGAAAGCGAAGCCACCAAAGCGGCTCCTCCTAGCCCGGGCGCGGCAGCCTAGAGGGGATGTCTTTTTCGCAAAGCGAGTTCTCCAACTTTCCCAGGGCTTGGCTGAGCTCCGGGACCGCGCTGGGGTAAGCGGAGTGCCGGGGAAGGGGCGCTGGGACTGGGTAGCCGGGGCAGGGGTGCCCTGTCCGCACGTACCCACGACGGTGAGCAGCATGTTGTCCAGCAGCAGCGCCAGGAACACGATGAACAGGATGAGCTTCCGCGAGCGGCGGCTCTCCTGCAGCCAGCGGACCAGCGCCAGCTCGCTCAGGGCCATGTCTCCGGGGCTCCGCTGCGGGCGCGGCGCGCGGTGAGGACCCAAGGCGGCCGGGGACCCCCATTCTCCCGCCCCCCAGGCCGCGGAAGGGAGAGTCAGGGAGCCGCACGCACCGGCATCCGGGGACACCCCCGGGCGCCCCAGCCTGGGCTCACCTGCCTGGAGCACGTCCCCACGAGCGCCTGCGCTCCCTGGAAACAGCGCCCGCGAGCGCCGTCGGAGACCCAATCTGGGGACCCAACCTGGAACCCCCAGGACGCTGCCCGGATCCCCGCCGCCCCCAACTGTGCCACTTCCCAAACTGCACGCTCGGCTCCGTGCACCTTACGCCCTGCGCCCGGGCTGCCCCGGGGTCCCCGTAGCCCCGCCCGCGTAGCTCTGGGGGCCTCCCTGCCTCCCTGCCTCCTCCGGCCCCGCTCCCCTCCGGCTCCGCGCCCTGCGAGCAGGGAGCCGGGGCCGCGTTACCTCGGGGTCGCCTGCTATGCCTGCCCGAGTCCTCCGTGCCCGCGCCACCGCCCGCAGCGCAGTGGGCTCCGTCAGTCCGGGCGGCTCCGGGTCGCAGTCTCCGCCCCAGCGCCCCTCCGCCGCCGCTCAGTTTACCCCTTCCGACTCTGACGTCACGGCCGGAGGGAGTGGGGGCGGGGGGCTGGGGCGCCCCGGTCTCCGCCCGCCCGCGCCGTCGCTGCGCAGGAGGGGCCGCCGCCTCCCTGTCCCCGCCTCGGCCGCGGCCGCGCCTCTTCTCCGGACCCTGCGCGTGGCCGACTGCCTTGGGGACCCGGGCCTGGGGAAGCGGCAGGGGCGCAGAGGGAAAGAGGTCAGAGACCCTGGACGAAGGGTAAAGGGCCAGGGACCAAGGCGAGGAGACAAGGCTTTCTTGTGGGTCCAAGTAGTGGCACGAGCTGCTTTGAATAAATCAGGTGGCTCTTTGAGCCTCAGTGTCCCTGAAATGGGCCTTGAGGACGGGAATGATGGCCGTGGGGTAAGATCGCCAGGGGTGACAGGTGCTGGGAGCCAGGCACAGGCTTCTCTTTCCTGAGAAAGCCACGCTTTGTACCCACCATTCCCTCCCCTCTCCTTCCTCTGCAGCCCCGATGCGGGGGTGCCACTCGGAGGAGCCTTTGAGTCTTGGGCATCCTCAAGTTGGTGACAGGGGAAAAAGGGGATACCTTTCAGTGTCGCCCTACGGTGGGAGCTGAGGAGGTGAGGGTCCCAGGTCTCAGAAAGTGGGAGCAGTGGGTTTGGGCCTCTGGGGCCACTTGAGCAGGGGACCCTGGAGGCTAGGTGAGTGCCCCTGGCCTCTGAGAAAGGGCTAGAGGGTGGGTTGTGGGTGGGGCAGCAGGCTTAGGCCCTGTGTCCTGTACTCTTGCCCCTCGGTCCTGTGCCTGGGCATCTGGGTGAGAGGTAGTTCCTAGAGCCAGGGGCCTGTGTGTAGCTGGTGCAGAGCTGTCATCCTCACTGCCAAGGGCTAAGGGCCTGCACAGATGCCCTCTGACATCGCTGGAGCTCAGCAGGCCCTCCGAGGGGACCATGGGAGCAGGAGCTGTTTTCTTGGAAAGCCACCTAGAATAAATGTTACCCTGTCACAGTCTCTTAGCAGAAGAGTGGCCTTGTTTTATTAATGTTAGCTTGTCAGCAGGAGGCCACTGAGAACAGCAGTGTGGTGTGTGGCTGTCCCCGCTCTCTCCGCCTCCCTACTCCGTTGCAGAGACCCCCTGTGTTTCCCATTGCTACCCCATGTGTGAGAAGAAATGGTTGAACAGGTAAGTAGGTCAGGAACATGGGTCTCCAGGATGTCGCAGGATGTACGCAACTTAAATATTAAACAGGGAGGACAGAAGGAAAACCACTTAGGAGGAGGAAGCAGATGGCAGAGAGCCGTTTAAGATGGCAGGAGGGTATCACTCACGGAGTGCCCCAGAGTGCTTGCTCTGGAGTTTCAGAACCTAAGATGCAGACTCTACCCTAGGCACCATGGGGACAGAGAAGCATCATGGTAAAGGGTGCCTACCAACATGCCCAGGTCCCAGTCTGCTACTTCCTTGACTGGTGGCCTTGGGCTGGTTATGTATCCTCTTCGGGCTTAGTTTCACCATCTCTGGAATGGCGATACTCACCAGACCTACTGCAGCGTGGTTGTGAGAATTCCACGGGAATGCATAGACAGCTCTTAGCACAGTGCCTGGCACAAAGTGAGAGCTCTGTAAGTGCCGGCCCCTCATTCATGCGGTGAATATGTGTTGAGTTCTTACTATGTGCCAGGCACTGTGGTTAATGCTGGGGAGACAGTAAAAGTCCAGACAAATCCCTGCTGACATTCTGACCTGATAGCAGCATCATAGCAGTGAACACTGGAAGCCACACCAAACTCCAGCCCAGACAGCTGGATGTAGATGGCTCCAAGGACAATGCCAGCCCAGCATTCCCACGTCCTGATCACTGCCACTACCCCTAGAACAGTATGGCCTATAACAGGGTCTTCAGACTTTTTGTTGAAACCCTCTAAAAAATGTTTAACAATATGTTTGCCTTATACATTTTCAAGTTGGCATCTAAAATGAGTTTTTTAATCATATATTTAAATAGGGCATATTGTATTTATTGACCTTTATATATAAAACTATTATAACTCTCTTTTAAATATACCCAAAGGAATTTATATAAGAACACAAAACCGCCATGTTATACTTAAAAATATAAACAAGTAACCCTTTAATAGTCAAAATATTTACATTGTGTCCTTTACCCCTTTAAAGTATATTTCCATTCTGTTTCCAACATATTTTTATCCTATGCTTTTATCGTTTAAAATCTGTGTTCATCACATTATCTATTATGTGAACTATGACAAATATGTGACTATGCATTAGCTTTTCAAAATTTTCTACATATGGACATAAATATGGCAACAATAGACACTGGAGACTACTAAAGGGGAGAGGGAGGGAGGGAGGAAAAGGTTGAAAAACTAACTCTTGGGTACTATGCTCACTACCAGGGGTACAGGATCGATTATACCCCAAACCTCAGCATCACTCAATACACCCATGTAACAACCCTGCACATGTACCCACTGAATCCCCAAACAAAAGTTGAAACTATAAAAAAAAGTTTAGGCACAGTGACTCATGCCTGTAATCCCAGCATTTTGGGAGGCTGAGGTAGGAGGATCTTTTGAGGCCAGGAGTTCAAGACCAACCTGGGCAAGATAGTGAGACCCTCTACAAAAAAAATTAAGAATTAGTCGAGCGTGGGTACACACCTGTGGTCCCAGTTACTTGGAAGGCTGGGTTGGGAGGACCACTTGAGCCCAGGAAGTCAAGGCTGCAGTAAGCCATGATCACACCACTGCACTCTAGCCTGGGCAACACAGCAAGACCCTACCTCAAAAATAAATAAATAAATAAATATTTTCTTATGGCCATAAGGCTCTAAAATTCTCTTTAGGATTGTCTGATTATACCAATGATTAATGGTATTTAAATGATCAAGACATCATACACAAATATGCATTTTGATAAATAATTATTAAACATAAAAAGGAAAATTGTATTAAAAGTGCATTACTTAAGAGACGCATAGGGAGGGGATTTTTGGAGCCTTGATGAAAGAGACACCAAAAGTCTCTGTTTGGTGCCGAGGATGTTTTTGTGCCTCAGGACACTGTACATAGGAAGGGGGTCAGACTCAGGTTAGATAGGAAGGGAGTCTTTCTTTGCCCAGGGGAAGATGGGAGACTGTGGAGAGGGGAGGCCATGCAGGAACATGTGCATGTCCCCACGCAGGTCCATCTCAGCCAGATGAGCTTTAAAATGGAAGACATGAAAACTGAGGGTCTCAAAAGCTTGGGACATCTTCATATACACTCAGTGTCCTGCCATTCCAGGCTGAAGAGCCTCCACAGCCACTTCTGATACCTCTCAGCCCTTGCCTTCCCCCTCTGGCCACAGTGGTTCCTCTCAGCATTTCTCTGCCGCAGGGCCTTTGCACATTTTCCTTCCTCTTCCTCTTCTTTTCTAGTTATTTCCTCTATCAGTCCCAGCATCGCTTCCTGGAGGAAAGCATGCGGTCCAGCATCAGACAGGCCCCTCCCTTACAAACCCTCATGAAGGTGTTACTTCTTTTTACTTCACTTCCTCCTTTGAGTAACCCTCAAAGAAGCATTACTTCCTCTAGAGTTACTTCCTCTCTAGAGGGAAGTAACTCTCCCTCCTCTCCCTCCACTCACTTGCACCTTTTTTAGACACTGGAGACTGGGGAGGTACAAAGGTGGTACCAGGATTGACTTTTTCATTACATTTCAATATTTGGGAATGATAATTTCTAAATTCTATTTAGGAAGTAGCCACCTGGGACATAGCAGTTATTTGAAATAGACATTACTGGAGATACACTAACAGGAGTTTAAGCTGTAGACAGCATCCTAGTGGGGTCCCTTACAAGTTACATGACCTTGGTCATGCTGCTTGACCTTTACACACCTCAGTTTCTTATCTGTCTTTCCAGCAGGTTAACAGTCCCTCCCTCCCAGCGTAGTTATAGAGAGAAAGTGGGATGGGCCTTGCCTAGTACCTGATATCCATTAGGTGTTCTCTGTTACTGGAAAATGGGAAGTGCTGGATACAGGGAAGGTGTAGGTGTTTCCTGGGGAAAAAATCCTCAGGTGCTCCCCCATCAGAGAACCTGGAAACAAGGACAGTACCCTCAACTCCTGGGCATTAAGCTGTGACATGCAAGTAATGGGTCAGAGCAGAAACGAACAAGGCCATCCCAAGAGACTCAATGGTTCCTAGGCTAGCCCAACCTGGCATACTAGTTATCACACAGACAGGGAAGGAAGGGAGAGTAGAGTAGCCAGGCAGGAGCCAGCAAGCTGGCACAGGATTGGAACAGATAGGTCACAGAAGGGGGAGACCAAATAGCTACCAAGCTCATGAAGAGACACTCACACACTAGTAATCAGAGAAATGCCTATTAAAATGAGGTCGAGATGCAGCCCTACACCAGGAGCACTGGCAACAATAGGAAGTTGGGTGAGGCCATTTGTTGGTGAAAATATAGGGAAACAAGGGTACTTTCCTTGGGGTGCATGGGGACTGGTGCAGCCTTTCTGGAGAGCAATCAGGAACTTTTTGGTGGAATTAAGTAAGTGCCCACCCTCTGATCCAGAGTTCTCTCTCTGCCACCTTCTGTTCAAACCAAGAAGCCAGATGTAAAAGCCCCCCAGAGGCTACCCACAGAAGAGCCCCTGCACAAAGAGCTGTTCCCAGGAAGAACTGGGTAAATGTAGGATACATTGTAGGTTTCAGGGCACACCAGGGAAGTCGCTGAGACAGTTACCACTGCGCATTGTGGGAAATTCCATCCCATTTGTACATAGCCCCAGGTGGTTCCCATGGCCTGTATCTCAGTCCCCTGAATCTCCAGGGCTGGCAGCTTCAACTGAACTTTCCTAGGAGGGCTCCATCTAGACATGATTTGTTTGCATCATCTTCAGACTGGGTAGAGCTAGTGCCTTTTGGGCAAGACCCTCAAGAGCTCCTTGCCAATCTCCTCCTAGGAGAGCAAAGACAAGGTGCTAGTGGGAGGATTACTACGTGGCTTAAGGGAGGGTCTGCCTGCTCCCCACGCTGTGGC